AGAGAGAGAGAGAAAGAGAGAGGGAACCAATGTGAAAAGCTCGGTGAGCGTGGAGCAAACACAGCTGCTCGTGGATCAACATTGCAGTGATTTTGAAATTTGTGTCATTGTTAAACCAGTTATTCGGCTTTCTGCCCTGATCTCTCAGGAAAATTACATCACGGGATAAAGATGTCGTGTAAAGACTTGTTTAAATCAAAAAAATGTAAAAAAAATAATCTTGGGGAGTTCTCTGTGGTGTCTTTAATGAGATCTGGGGTGAAAATATATTTCCTGTAGTAGACATTTTTACCAAGTCATCATTTTCTATTCCAGGAGGCTCTGAAAAACACGTTTCAGGTCCTGCGCTCTCTGGATGGCAGCACTTAGGGGCCAATCCCAGCTTTCAAATGGAGTCTTGAATGGCAGAGTGGAAGAAGAAGAAGAAAAAAAAAACCAGGTACCTGACTCAGGATCAACTACCACATGCTTCCAATGGGGCTGGAGTCTCCAGATAGCAGCGCGCCTGTATGAACAACATGCAGAACGTGAACTAAGCAGGTTGGAGCATGCATCAGAACGAGGCTGTAGACGACACAGTCTGCAGTAGCAGCAGATTTGACTGTCAGAGCGCCATATGCAATCTGCTTTCTTGAACACAGGAAGGGAGCAGGCTGGACTTGTTCCTCCTTAAATCTCTCTCAGATTGCTTTAAAAGTTGCCTTGAAAGTCCATTAAAAGTGCCAACTTTGCATTAAAGTGTCATCATTTACAAAATAATGCAAAGTTGGCACTTTTCATGGACCTTCAAGGCAACTTTTAAAGCAATCTTTTATTAAAAGTGTCATTATTTACTGAGTGTCTCTTTATGACAAGAAACACGTCATGACAGTGTCATGTCAATCTTATGCACGATTTCATTCATTTACAACCAAATTTGATTCGTTGTATTGCGTCTGATATTGAGATGATACGTTTTGAGTTATATTCAGCATGAAGATGACCAGTTTTTAGGTCACACATGAGCCTCACAGGTTAACCAAAAGCAGCAACAATACAGCAACATTTCCTCTCACAGCAAATGGATTTACGTCTTCAGATTGATCGAAAGAAGCGACAAAACTGGAGCGTCTTTGTTTAAAACCCCTTAGAGATTTCAAACGCTGGTTGTTGTGGACGGCACCGACCAGCCAGGCCAGCGACTGCTGACATCAAACCACATGCAGCGACATATGGCCCTCCTGGTGGCGTAATACCTGTTCCTGTTATCTATTCCTGTGGATTATGTGACACCAGCTTTAAAAATGTCAAGGACTTTAAAAATAAAGAGAGTTGTCAAAAGATAAATCTAAATGCAGTGGTGACCTGACAATTTAACAGGAATTTTTAACAACTTCTTTGCATTAATATTTTTTTGTTATTTATTTATCAGAAGAGCTGAGGTAAAGATGCAGCTAAGAAAAAAGATAAACTATTTAACTTCTCAATCCACTTCAAACCAAACCATTGAAAAAAAAACAAAAAACGCTTCACTCGCTTTCACAGTTTCGATGGGTGAAAATAGTTCTAACTAAGCTCAACTATTGCTGAATCAGTTATCATATGAGGTTAAACAATGGCTTTGATAACATGCAATAAATGTATTACAGAAATCCACACCGACCCAAAGGCTGCTAGCAGCAGTTTAAAGTCATTCAACACCGAGGCAACAGTTCAGGGTCGAACTGATCAGATGAGACCAGGACTTACTGTCAGTGATGATCCTGTTGCTGCAGCAGATGAGGCTTCAGCACCGCGGACAGCTCTGGGAGTTCTCCTCTGCAGGTGGAGCCTGAGGTCTGAACTTCACGCGCCGCCTCCGCTCCCACCGGAGCTTTAACATCTTCACCCTCTGTAGGATCCTCCCATCTGCTCCTCCCTGCCTCCCTCCCTCCCTGCTGGCTCATCTCTGAACACTTTGGGTCTGTGTGTGGAAGACACAGAGCATGTTTATTCCAGACTGGCTGGAATATCATAAAGCAGCATTCACTACATCTCAACTTGAAGTGACACGCATAAAAATAAAGTTCATATTCAAGGCGAAAGCAGCTGTAATAGCTACATAGATTCTGCAGGTAAAAAAAAAAAAAACATTGTTATTGAGTTTTGAGCTGGAGATGTTTAAACATTAAATATTAAAGCCATGTGCAGGCAGTAGGTCATTTCTTTTGTCGTAAATATGGACTCATATTTATGAGCTTTGCCATTTTGAACTGTTCTTTGCTTGATTTCAAGAAAGCAAAGCAGAAAAACGTGTTTTGATTTCATTTTAAAGGCAGGAGTCAATGTGAAATATTATCAAGACTCAAACCGTAAGCTAAAAACAATGGAGCTTATTACCGCTATCATGAAGTACAGCTATGTTCTTATGCTTTGAGTTTATGTTTATCCTCTTTATGAAGTCAACTTACATTTATTCAACGAAAGTATCTAATAAGCACTTATTCCCACCTTCCGAAATATACAAAACATATTTTGTATTTTTTCAGGCTCGTCCTGAAAAGCAGTCACTTGGGTTTCAGTTCAGTTCAGTGGATTTATGTAGCACCAAATCCCAACAAATGTTATCTCAAGGCAAAGGATGAACAAGTCAAATTTACACATACAAAGACACGCGCACACACACACACACACACACAATATATATATATATATATATATATATATATATATATATATATATATATATATATATATATATATATATATATATATATATATATATAATAAATAAATAATATATATATATAAATATATATATATATATATATATATATATATATATATATATATATATATATATATATATATATATATATATATATATATATATATATATATATATATATATATATATATCAGCATTTTAGTGAAGTAAATATGGCTTTGAAAACCGATTTTCAGATTAACCGATCTTTGTCAGATGATCTGAAACACTGGAGTGGCAAAATAGAGAAAGAAACTGAATTGACACAAATCCTTTCATCAGCACTTTGTATCTTCTTTTGAGGTTTAAAGGATGAGTATTTTTGTTTTGTTTTCTTGTTTTGTTTGTTTTATCTGCTTATTTTTTAAAGAAAAAAACCCCACTGTATTTTAATAAGCAAAGGTTCACGTAAAACCACATTACCTCTCAGATGGCAGAAAGGAAATGTGTTAATATCATGTGAGTTTGTTAAAAAAATCATAGTTGCTGGTTCTCAGGTAGATTGAAGATCTATTTATCCCCGCTACGTCACAAGTTTTGCTGAGCTGTGGCATATTATGTGATAAAGATGTGGAAACAAAACAAGCTGAGCCACCTGTTTGTACTTATGGCTTTACTCCAGATACTTACAGGGAGAAGTAATTAGTTGGCATAGTTCATATACTACAAAACACAGTAGCCCCCCCGCCTGCGGCTACATGGGATCTCCCTGTTGGTTTAATTAATAGTGAGTGAACTGTAGCACAGAACTAGTTCATAATCCAATCACACAGAGCTGTCCTCCTGTGGCCATAACTGATGAGAGCCTCTGACCTGGAGTTATGCAATTTGTTTTGTTGTTTTTGTTTGTTTATTTTGGTTATGAATATCACTGTTATACAGTTTCTAACTTGTGTTTCAAAAACATAGGTCACGACTGCAGGGTGTTCACATTTTTGCTTTACATGCAAAACTTGTTAACGTTTCTTTTGTCATAGTTCCAGTCTAAATGTTGAAGTTTTGTGCAAAGTTGTTGCATCAGTTATATATATTTATATATAAAAAAATAATGTCTGACAGAGATTCTATTAAAAAAAACAAAAAACAAAAAAAAACAAGTTCCCCAAAATTGTTGCAAAAGGTTGATGGCTTTTCTTGGTCTGCTGTGGAGGCCTGGTGATATTTGTTGTGGTTGTTCAGCAATTTTAGTGATAAACTTCAAATGTGCATTCAACAAACCAAACTATTCCTTTAAAAAAAAAACTGTTTCAGTATACAGTCAGTTGAGAGTAAAGGAAAGTAGCAACTTATACATTTATGTAAAACAGCTCATCCTTGCTGTGCAGCAGGAAAACACATGATGTTGTGAACCTGGTTTTTCTTGCAAATATCCTGGGACACTTGTTTAAGTGAAATCTTTGAAATACTGCCAAATTTTAAATAAAAGTCTGACAACTCGTAGAAAATAGTAGAAAGTTTGGTTCAAATGATTTTGTAAAGCCAACAACTTGATGTAAATTTCATCAGTAAGTCAACGTATGATTAGACTGCTGCAGCAAAACTATCCAATCAATTGAAGGTTTTTTACAAATCTTTACTAGGTGGATGCTGTACTAACTGCAATGTGGGCTGGAGCACAGTGTGGTGTGTGTATGGTTGCATCATCGTAGGGTGAAAGCTTTGTTCCTTCCTCTAACACCTTCTCACTAAACACACATCTCTTAGAGAAACAACGCTCCCTGTTGAAGCTAACTTGATTTGCACAAAATATAGACAACAGCTGTATAAAGAAATACTAGGATGCAGGTGTGCTCACAGGGAAGCCTCATCTCTGCAGTCCAGTTCATTTAGTTAGTACAAAGACCTCTTTAATCATTTATCTCAAGACAGCCGTAAGATAAACTACCCATACGTATTGACTGTGTGTGTGTGTGAATCTATATGCATGAATTATTTAAGGTCTAATCTATCAGTCCCACACAAACTGATCTATGAGTATAACAACCGGCATTGATAGCCATGTCCATGAACATCTATCAACATGTGTCAGGACCGAAATGAGAAAACTAAGGACAGACACACAGGACATCCAGAGTTTAATTTGTTCTCCAGAGGAGCACATATACACGATGCACCCAGAGCTGCTGACTCTGAGGAAGCGGAGGCAAAATTAATTATATTAGCCTGCTTTGTTTTGAGATTTTGACAAGATCTGCTTAACTTCACAAAAAGCAAAAGACATAAAAAGTTTGGCAACTCTGGAATAAAAAAAATGACTTCAGAAGAAAAGCATGCGTTGAGGACAGGACAAACAAAATGTATTTTATTCCAACAGGATTCTGATATTATATTATGTACAAGGAGAATAAGTTATGTGTACATATTTGCAAGAGAACATCTCCATAAATTGGTGCTTTTTGGCATAAACTTAACCCACCATGTTTAGAGAAAGAGAAGAAAAAGAGCCGAGCGTGACCTCACAGTCGAACAAGGAGGAGGAAGCATTATGCTATGGGAAGAGTTTTCTGGGCCGTGTGTAATTTCTTGCATCAGAACCACTTTGCATCAGTAAAAGCACTAAATTTGGATCATTGAAGTATTTTACCTATAAGATGAGCAGATAGACATTTTAACCTACATACAAGACTTCCTGTCTAACAAAATAAGAGCATGCTATGCCTGTTGGACATAGCCATGAATTTTGGCATCGTCGTTGACACAAATGGACTCAACAGAAACATCAATAATATTTCAAACAACAATGCGGTCTGTTCAGTAAAAGACTCATTTGTCACCATTGCTTAAAAGCCACATTCAGAAACGTAAACAGAGCAGTTGTGTAAGACAAACAGGTGAATGATTGGACTTTGGTCGAACAAAACGATTCTGGAAACCTGAAGCTGCCTGAATGATAAAATGAAACGAAACAATGCACATCTCATTTACTTACAGGTTATGATGTAGATGAAGAGAAGGACACACTGCACTGCAACTTAGCAAAACATAATGTGTGGTATTCCTGATAATGTAGCTAATAAACTCGTTATCCAAGAGCAGCTGTGGCGTTAAATCAATACATCGTTACTTGGAATGTTTTATATTCAAATCATCTAATTTCATTGTACTTTTATGTGTGAAATAAACCCACAAAGTTGGTAAAACAACAGACAAAGATCTATTACATCTATTTACAATCACTAATTTCTGCCTTCGTTGAGATTGGAGAAGTTATTTCACTAGAAAAAAAAAACATAAACCCAAAACATCGACTGAAGTTCATCAGATCATCAAGTTCCACCCAGTTTTTACATGTCCAACAGTTTGTGTTATGGTCACACAAGAGGAGAATTGTTTTGCTGCTATTTGATTTCAATCATCAGCTTCTGACTGGAACCACCTGATTTTTAGCAACCTAATGAGTGAACACTCCTGCTGACAGCATTCTTCAATATGGATACTGAGAAGATTCACCGGTAGCTATTTTCAGTGGCGTGTTTAAAATGAAGTCAGAAGAAGCACTTCGTTTTAACCAAACAAAATGTAAGAAACCATTAGAAAGAAAAAATTCAGCGACAGGGAGTGAGAGAGCAAGACTTTCAGCGGGTAATAGGAAGGCTGAACTAAAAGCAAATATACATTTCTATGAGCATGATTTGGAAATGTTGGCAGTTTCTTAGAAATCCTCAAGTAAGGTTAGGCTCTACATTCTCTAGGTCTAGGATATACACATGAAGTGCTGTTTAGGAAGGCAAAATACTAATACGTAATGGTAAACTTCTGAAGTATGTTATCGTTTTAGCAATAATGGGACACACCAATCTTTTTGGAGAAACTTTTGTATCATTCAATTGCATAATGTCACCTTTGCTCTCAACGTAAATAACTGGTTGCTCAAGGCATGAATGCTGCAAAAATCATAATTTCTGAATCTTGCTCTAAATCTTAAAGAAAAACCAGATTCAGCAAAAACTGCCACAAATGTCTAATGTCCATCTCTAGTTTCTGCCAATTAGAACTTACTTCTTCTGTGTTAATAGTGTGAAGAACATTTCCACTGTCCACAAATGCAAATTTATCGCTACTTACACTATGCCTCCAATGTTCAAAAAGAAAAGTGATAAAAATACAGGGGCACGTTGACACAACTCTCAAAACTTCAACAGACATAAAAGATGAAGGTCCACTTTTTCCACCTACAAGATGCCATCTTTCTGTGATTAAATACAACCAGTTTACAATGGAGATGAACTTACTCCGTTTACTTCAAGAATAGTTCTTGCCACTAGTATGGAAGAGGAGCAGCACAGGATGAAGGCTTCAGTATTGTGATTCTGTTTTAACAGGCATTAATAACAAGAAGGTTTAGGTGTTTTACTCATATCTCTGTCCATGGAAGTCAGGATGCAGATTCCAGCAAATGATCGAGCATCAACTATGTACATGTGCACATGAATCTTCTGGAAAGTCGGCACAGAGGAGAAGGGGTTTGCTCTGCTTTGGAGCGGATTCCAGCCGTCCTTCACGGTTTGTCCATCAGAGGATACATTCATCTGCGTCCCATGCGACCTCCTATTAGAGGATCTGCTCTGTGCTGGAGGCGGAGATGTCCAACAGCCTCCAGGCTGCGTTGGGGTTCAGCTCCTCCTGGTCTCGACACAGGGCCCACACGTGCATCATCCTCATCACTTTCCCCTGCGGGGGGGCAGAGGCATTTAATGTCAAACAGCAACATATGGTTAACTGTTTTCGATTTTCTTTCACCGTGTCTTCTGGTATAATGGGATGTAACATTTTGTAGTTCCAAATTAACTATCAACACCAAGCTCTGTTTCAAATTTGGAGCAAAATTGAAGTTCACTGACCGGATCGCCTTCCACAACGTCTCCTTTTGGGCTGCGGACCACCATGACGACCTGAGCCTGGAAGGTAATGATCAGCACCGGGCCCTGGTCCATCAGCTTACCCATTGCCAACTAAAACAGGCCACAAAATAAGAAGCTCACAGGAGGAACAGCTGATATAAAGTCATTCGGTTTCTCCGATGTTGGAGGTTCAACTTTTCAAACCTAACCCATGCTGCCATATATCAATTGAAGGGGATATGTCATTTCTGAGCACTGGAGTGAAATTGCTGGGATATTCACTCATTTGAAGGTCAGCTACCGTCTTACATATTCTGAACTTGTCTTTTCATCTGTGGTAGTGGTGTTTCTAACCCTATATGGATTTCATTTCCACATTCACCAGTCACTATGTTGATGAGGAGGATTAAGAAAGAGTGTTGAACTATACAAATTTGACTACTTTTGCAAGAAAATAAGGAGATACAGCACTGGATGTTGGAAAATCTCCATGGGTGTAAGTGACAGTATTGACTGATTGTAGCAGAACTTACGTCTATATTATCAATGTCGAGAATTTTGGACTGAAAGAGAAGACCTAGAGCCTTGGCCTGCTGGATGGGATGGGCCAGCTGTCTGTATGTCTGAGAGAAACAACAAAGGATGAAACACTTCACACATAATACTTCAAGTATTAAAAAGGTTTAGAAAAACCAAGTTGGAAAACACGTTAGACACATAACAGCAAAAACTGATTCATATTTGTTTGTTTAACCTAAAAATCACTTCCATCCTTATTATCCGGAGCATCGACTTTAAATTAATCAGAGCTTTAAAAAAATGATAAATGTTCATGTAGCTGCTGCATAACTCACAGCTTCATAGCACCAGTCCTTTAACACATCCAGCTCTCCACGGACCATAGCCTGCAAAGGACACAGTTCATGAGTGAGCAGTGGGAAAATGTATAAATCATCTCGATATTTACATTTAAACTCCAACTTGCTTTCTTTATCTTATTTTAACTCATTTTTTCCCTAACTGAGCCAGGTTGTATCAGGTAGTAAAGGAATGAAATACGACAGCGAACGGATAAAAGAAAAGAAGGATTTAAGAAACAAACGACAATCAAAAGCTGGTGGTTCCCATTACCTCCAGGATGTTCGGGATGATGTCTTTCTCACACTGCTTGAGGAAAGTGTCCTTGTCAAACTTGGGATCTATCTTCAGAATCTCTGTCAGCACTTCTGACATTTCTGTCTTCGAGAAAAGGCCACCTAGAAATGCACGTCAACGCCATCAGCAACACTGACAAAAAAACAGCACTGGCATCTTATAAATTAAATTTGTAGGTTGGAATATATAGAAACAAACAGTAGAAAGACAAGGTGGATATGATGGAGAGTTACCTAAAAAGTCAGTAACTCTGTCAGTCATGGCTCTGGATGCTCTGATGAGAGCATTGTCACTTTCATCATATTTCATCTTCATCTCAAAGAATCCTGAGAGCATAGGGAAAAAAATGAAAGAGATGGACTTTTCTTAGAAAAATTAAGTGTTTTTTTTAGATAATAAAGGCAGCAGTTGTAGTCATCAAAAATATCTTAAGTGTGCACCATTTTTCTGATTAGGCATGCGCTTATAAAGCTATCTGCTGCCCCCTGCTGTCTCCAACTGAGAAGGCACGTCTGCAGATTAAGCAGAAGGTCATTAAGGAGATTAGTAGTTTGTTTATTATTTGGAAGCAACTTACGGTTAAAGACCACATTATTGTCCTTGAAGTCTTTCCACTGCTGGTACCACTTTGAATCCTTATGCAGAACCACCCCCAGAGCTTCTCTACGTCATAAAAACAAACGTGGAATTTTTAATCACATGAAAACAAACTTCATAAAATACACACTTACTTATAAGCAAGTGGTGGAAACATAACAGGGAAACTGAAACTGGTTTACTGCTCAAAAATTAAAAGTCTTAAATGAGTAGAAGTGATTTAAAACCTAGACTGGACATTCTGGACGTATTCAAGGCTATTTAAGGCCTAAAGTTTTTGGGACATTTTGAGATATTGAAGAACCTTGTGATTTCACTGGCTTATATTGGCATTTCCTGAAGTAAACGGGAATCAATACAAATACAAGCCACACTTTCCAGATTTTCATCTGAAAAAAACAAACAAACACATTTTCCTTATGTTTCCTTATGTTTCACCTATATCCCAATAAAACATACATCCATATGTATTAACAGGATGAAATGTTTTTTAAAAAAAGCAACTAAATACATATTTTTGCAAAGACTTCATGCATTGGTATAAATGTAGAAAACAGTGATTTTTCTTTTTAGCAGCTACTTACTCATTGGCCTCAAACACTCTGCTGTCATTGTCTGGCCCTTTAAATGAAAAGTCACTTCTCATTCTAAGCTGAGCAGGAGCTCTGTAGGGGCCGGCGTCTCCGACATCTATCTCCTTCTTCATGGACTCAACGCTCTACAGAGGAAGCAGCGGTTTTAATGTTTTGAGCTGGGAAGCATGAAAGTTTATCAGCATGTTAAAGCACAGCTTTAGATTAAATCAGGAATAAAGGAAAACTAAACAAGCACTTCAGACGTATGTGGCAGGCAAGGATTGTTATCCATCTGCAACTGAGCTTAAAGCTGCTCCATTGCAAATTTAATTCAAATGTCACATTTTTAAAGAAGAGATTTAGAGAGATGTCTATTCTTCTGACCTGTGAGATGGCCTTGAAGGCGCTGGTCCGGCCCAGTTTCTCTCCACCCTTAGACACGGACTCTGCAGAGTGCATGGCTGTCCTCGCAGCCTCTTCCACGCCTTCTTTGATCTTCTTTCCTATATCCGTACGAGTCACCTCCTCTAGACCCTTAAGCACAAAAAACCCCCAATAAAAGATAGAATTCAAATAGATTGGTACTGAATAAATGTACAAATGTGGAAGCTGAATCCACAACATAGAATGAATCCTTCCGCAAAAGAAAAATCCAGTAACCACTCTTTAGTGCTTTTTGTTTAGATCCCATTAAACACCTCACCTCTTTGACAGTTTCTGACAGAGAGCCAAAGGTCTTCTTAAACACCTCAGAAGTCTTTACCGTCTCTGCCTCAATAGATTTCTAATGAAACAAAGAGTTTTTGCAGCATTCAGTCAAAGGGTTTTACCAACAATAATCAGTTTCAACGTAGACCCTCACACCAGAAGCCAGGCGACTTCCTTACATATTTCCTGCGGGCCTGCTGCAGGGCGTCGGATTCTTCCAGCTTCTTGGCCTCTTCCCTGAACTTCTTGATGTTTTCCCTCATCTCCTGGTTCTTACTGAACTCCTGACGAAGATTATCAACAAACTCCCCGAGAAAACCTTTCCGCCCTGAAGCATACCGGACCTGAACAAAGAAACAGAAAAACAGAAATCCAGAAATCTATAGGCATCCAAAACAAAAACAGTGTACAACCAAATATGCTAACTACAGATTATTTCAATAAAATCCCCAAAAGTGGGTCATATGAAAATAATTGTTGGTGTGCACCTGCACAGCTGCAGCCGGGCTCCTGTGTAACCTGTAGGCATCTCTTTTCCATGTGGCACTGAGCACAGAACGTGTGCAGAGACCCAAGGCATTCCTGCCAATGAGCTGCAATCAAAAAACAGCAGTAAGGTGAGGCAGGCCATATCAGCAACGGGTCCAAAACGTTTCTGTATAATTACTGATTCACAACAGAGTACAGGAGAAAGCAACGCCAACAGTTCAAGAGAAAATCTTGAAAGATTTTTGAGAAACATTCAACACATCATTCCTGAAACACCACTAATTTATTTCAAAATGTATAACTTCATTATGCATGATCCCACTGTTGATTTTACTCCCACCACAAACACTTTAACCTTACAGCAAACTGTCACACCGCAACAACAAACTTGAATTGATCATTTCCATTGTGCTTGATGAGGTGGATTAAGAAAGAGTGTTGAACTATACAAATTTGACTACTTTTGCAAGAAAATAAGGAGATACAGCACTGGATGTTGGAAAGGACAATATGAATGCGTCAAAAATAAAGCTGAACTCCTCATTTTATCAATAAAAATGTGAGGAATCTTCAGTCTCTGGGGTCGTGGTGTAGAATGTGTTTGAAACCTTTTTATTTCTCTGTTTCTCATTAGATTCTGCTATGGCAACAGTATTGTGTTGAACATGCAGCCGTTCTTGTTCTGCTCCAGCCTACACCACGGTTGAAAACTATTGATTTTTAACATACTCCCTTTCGAAACAGCCTAAAGCACAGGAACCAAATTTACAGAAAACCTAGCTTATGTTATTAAGCGGTAACAGATTTAACTGCTACGATTCTGATGCAACAAGGCCTTCTAACGGTCATAACGTACTCCAACAGATATCCATAAAACCCTGTTCTCGTGAATAAAGGTGACAAAACTGACTCAAACACACCGGAGTTAAACTCGTAATAAATTAGCGTTTCATGTGTGTGAGCTGTAATGAAGGACATGAATGGGGTCTAACCTCGTAACACCGACACACGGACGCTGCCATCTTGAAGTTCAACCAGGGAAGCACGTGCATCCTGGTGCGTCGTCACAGTCTGAACCGACGTTTCACCTGACCAATAGGAGGACGGGAAGTGAGCATGGGGCGGGGCCAAGTACATGACCCTGATTAAAGGGACGATCCTGGATCAAATTAAGACATGCTGCAACAATATACCCACCAGCTATTATGATGCACTTTTGGAGTTATTCTGAAAAAAAAGTAAGGAGGAAGACTGTTTTGAGGGGAAAAAAGGCGCAGAGAAAATACACCACAGTGTTAAACAATGCAGGCTGTGTAAACTCTGCTGTGTAAACTCAGCTAATAATAGAGAAAAAGTGTCTTTGATAGTAAGGCTCATTCCATTGGACACTATCCATAATTCTCTAAATGACAGTTTTATAAGATTTATTTGTTTTTATTTTTATTTTAGGCGATAATTTATCAAAACATTGTGCTTGATTAATTATTTGTTGCACTTACTATCCTATGAGGACATAACCCCCCCTACACATTCACATTTATGTTCTGCTTTAATTTGGTTGCATGAAAGTATCATATACTGATTTTATTTATTAGTTAGAGTACATGGTAATCATATAAATATATACATTTAAAAAAGAAGTATACTGAAACATGTCCAGCCAACTCTCAAAGTTGTTCTTCTCTAGAGACTCACTCTGTTTCCAGTCAGAGTGAGTGATTCAGTCAATATGGTCAAAAATCTTTTGACTGACTGCAAAAAAATAAAATAAAATAATAATAATAAATAAATAAATCAGCGGCAAGTACAGCAGCCACTGATTCTGAAATCCAAATTCAATTTGAAAGACCATCAGTGATTACACACAATTTCCCCATTATTTATGCACATAATCTGTAAACAACAATAATAATGACAAATAAATGTCCGACATTTTATTTAGTCTTTATCAGGAGACTGTTCACCTAATTGTGCACGTATTCTGAAATGTAAACGCGGTCTGAATGGTTTGTTTATTATAAGTTCACTCTGCGCACACGTCAGATTACGAAACGATCATGTCATAAAGTAAATAAAGTCATTTCAAAAAGGACTTCATTTGTTTTAAATAAATGACGTGTTTTGAACCAGACGAGCGACTGTTTCTGGTGGCGTGCTGCCGGTGAGGAGCGCCTCCCTTCGGGAGGAATTTGAACTGCAGGGACTCCTCCCCTCCCTCTGCAGAGAGTTGGGAGCTCTCTCCCCCTTCTCTGCGACCAGCTCTCGCCTTGACAGCCGACACTGGCGCAGAGTCTGAGCTCGGATCTTTACCTTATTTTTTCCTGGCATATATAGCGGTCATCCACACCCACGGCGTCCGCTCATCCTCTTCCGGAGACAAAGCGCTGGAGCGGCCTCGTCTAGAATGGGGAACCGAGACGACGAATACGATTTTTTGTTCAAAGGTAAAAAGAAATTACATTTTAAATAAATAAATAAATAAAGGGTAGCAAAGATGCACAGATTGGCTCCTTGCGCACCAGACAAAGCGGCGTTTAATGGCTGATTGTCAATTCTCTCCTTTTTGTCTCTGAGCTGCGCTGATGATAATCAGCTGTTATTACAACACGATGCTGTGACATTACAGATCCTGGAGTTGTATTTATTGGGTAATTAATGCGCACTACAGCTGTTTAAAAAAAAAAACTTTCATCGCCTCACAGATGAGGTCAGCAGACTTCTTGTTCAGCAACACTGGATGCTTTCTCCTGACTTCAGATGCATTCAGGCCTGCTGGCCTTCACCTCTCGCTGATCAATAACACTCGTTCCCCACATGAGGACTCACTGCGGATGCATCGGCGCAAAACTTCCTGCAATTTTCATTTCTGTCATTCTGACAGTCGTTAAGCCTGAAAAGGGGGAGAGGGGGGGACTAAGGGGGGCCACCGAGCCCGGGGGGCTCGGTGGCCCCCTCTTTGATCCTGATATCAGCTCCTGTGGCACATTAACATCCCGGGCTTGTGTGAGCCAGAGAGACCATTTAGACGTAACAAAGTATCCTCTGTGGGATGAATAGAGCATCTGCCGGAGGCGAGGAGCCTCCCCTCCCCTCTCTCTCCTCCCTCCTTGTGTTTTCTCCCCCTGGCCAAGCCTTATAACCCGTCCGAAACAGGAAGGGCAAGGCGGCCTGAGACCGTCGATTCAGGGTTTGATGGAGCGTGTTATCGGCTTCCTGCAGCCCCGGACCCACCGGCCGAAGCCGACGAGGAGAACAAAGTTGGGTTTCCTTTTGTGGAGGAAGTAGGGGGGGAAACAACAAGGCTCCACCTCTGCTGCTGCTGTATGAGAACCATCTGCTCAATAAGTTCCACTCATTAGACTGCAGCAGCACATGACAGTGGGTGAACAGAGACTGTTGATCATTTAAAATCATCTGTTTCCAGGATGTTCACGGGGAATCACCTTACACCGAGAAACTCCAATGTGTTTTATTGGGTTTTGAGTGATGGACGTTTAAAAAATCATGTTGCTGTTACCAGTACTGCAAGTCTGTCACAGGTTTGGACTCACCTCAAGTCGGATGAAGTTGCAGTCATTTCATTCATGACTGTCTTCTCTTTCCTGACAAACATCATCCAGCTAGAACCTACAACTCATGGTGAAGTGTTTGTTTTTGTTGTGGACCATGGCGTTCAGTTTCAGACCCATCGAACCAGAACATCCTCTTCCTCATTTCATGCCTGTCCCCTACATGGCTTGTACAAAATTACAAGCAGTATTTCTAAATTGCAAATGGCCTTCCTCTTGCCTCTCTTCCATTAATGCCAGCTTTGTGGGTAACACAATTATTAGGTGTCCTATAGATAGATTCTTCCACCTGAGTTGTGAATCTCTGCAGCTCATCCAGAGTTGCTACGGGTCTTTCGGCTGCTTCTCTACTTAAGGCTATTTGGTGACAACGGGGTTCTGTTCAGGCTGACGGGGTTCTGTTTAATAGGTTTGTAGTTGTGCCATGCTCTTTCCATTTTCATTGAAGGAAAGTGCAAACATTGAGATGTTATTTCTCTGAACTTCTCAACAGTTTTATCCCTGAGCTGCCTGCTGCTTTTCTTGGGTGTCATGATGCTGACTTGTTCATTAATGATCCTTAGAAAACCTCATGATAGAAAAACTGGTGGATTAGATTGATAGTAGGCCCAAAAGTGTGTCAATCCTTTTCATTTTCCTTAACAGCTTTTAGATGAAAGGGAAATGATCAGTGCGACTTTGTTTTGATCTGTCCCTCAAATGCTTCCAAAATACCCTGAAGTCTTTGGATGCAACATTCAAAAAAGTTAATGGGTTGTGAAGAACAGCTTTGCAAGGCACTGTGTTTTATACCATCGGGAATATCACAGGCTACATTTACTGATGCTTATCACTTTAGTTCATACTTGTAGAGTCTTAGACTGTAAGAATAAATAATGCCTGCTAAAGGAAAATCAAACCAAAAGTCAAGGAATTTCTTTATCCAGTGTTTTGTCTTCCTATTTGAAGTTCCCATTCATAAAAGTGCCTGGAGAGATCAGTATGACCCACTTCAGTGTTGATAGCAACGTTCAAAGTCCTCTTTGATTTAACAACACTGACTCATGCGCTCTTCTTTCCCTCCGTAGTCGTGTTAATTGGAGACTCAGGTGTTGGGAAGAGCAACCTGCTGTCCAGATTTACACGGAACGAGTTCAACCTCGAGAGCAAGAGCACCATCGGGGTGGAGTTCGCCACACGCAGCATCCAGGTGGACGGCAAGACGATAAAGGCTCAGATCTGGGATACGGCAGGACAGGAACGCTACAGAGCCATCACTTCGGCGTAAGTTTGTGTTTGCGCTGCGATTGCAAATCTTCCAGTCTTGCAGCACCTGCAGTGTGTGTGTGTGTGTGTGTGTGTGGAAGAGGAATATTTCACCATGGCAGTCACAGCAGACATATAACTCTGAGATCAGAATGAATCAACTAACTGGAATGGTTACTGACCCACACGAACAACCAGACAGGCTTTAAAAACTGCTTCTGGTTGCAGCAAGTATCTGATCACTGGCCAGCATGTGTACTTCTGCAAAAGGAGAAATTTTGTCAGTTTGCAGGTGCAGTTGGCGGCGTTTATTTGTATTAACACAATACCAAGGAGGAACAAAAGCAACAATGGATTTAGAGAAGCTGTTGTTGCCGTACATCAACCTGGGAAGCGCTACAAATCAAACAAAGGGAAGTCAGTGATTCTGCAGAAGATAAATGACGCACAAGCAGAGACAGTTCAGCAATTTCACCCTGAAAATTGCTGACCTTACATACGCTTTGAAAACCTAACAACACTATCCTTAATATGATTCTGGTCAACATTAAAAATGGCCTGTACATGGTCATGGTGGATGGAAATGTAATTGATCAAAGGTAATATGTTGGATGCAGCAAAAAGCCTAAGCAAGAGCTGGAGTTACTGGGAATGGTTTAGATAAATAGAAAAAAATAATCTATCGCAAAGTTGGTACAGGCATATACCAAAGAACATGGCAGAGTGCTTTATGTTTGCAAAAGCATCACCTGAGGTATCAGCACGACATCTAGGTAAATAGCACTACATTTAGTGTAGCAACATACGGCATACTGTAAGAGCTCAAACATGTAACACCAACAATGGTGGGTAGATGCTGATGTAGGCTTGTTATACGGACAACAGACCTGGACAATTTGCAGTCACATAGTCAGCCAAATGATTACATGACTTCAAAAATGAAAGTCCTCAAATCTCAATGAAACAAAGCCACATGACAAAAAGGATCAGACAGAATTTACCCACATTTTTATAAGCGGCGGATATAAAGAGTGACCTGCACCACCTCAGTCCTGTGAAAACAGAGGATGACAGTATGACAGTACTGCTGTCGACTTTTGAGGTTCACTTTTATATTCTGACTTAGTTTACGGTCAAGACAGATTATTAGATGGATTTATATGCTGTTTTTTCTGTTTCCATTTTATTCTCATGCAATATTTGGTTAGAACAAGACATTTTTAATGATTTTCTCCTGTGTTCAATCATAACAAAGAGTGTGTTATCCATCAATTTACTATCTAAGCCAGGTTATTCTTGGAGTAATGAGTTGACGCCAACTTCCAGCTGACTTTAACATTGTTCCCATTAACTCCTGGCAGCTTTGTCTGTCTGTCAATGGGTGAGCAGCAGGGCTGCTCACCTTTATGAGTGTGTTGAATATTTTCCCAACAGTGTGTTGAATATTTTCCCAATAGACTCCAGTGCATTCTACAAATGGAGAAACTGGAATACTGAAGTATGGATGAGTTCAGTTGGAAAAAAACACACATTCAATAACTGAAGCTTTGGCAAAACTCTATGAGATAAGGGGATCTGAGTCCATCAAATAAGTTGCTCTTTCTATCGACGGTGTTACAGATATTACAGAGGAGCCGTGGGAGCGCTGCTCGTGTACGACATAGCTAAACACCTGACCTATGAGAATGTGGAGCGCTGGCTGAAGGAGCTGAGAGACCACGCCGACAACAACATCGTCATCATGCTGGTCGGCAACAAGAGCGACCTGCGCCACCTCAGGGCTGTGCCCACAGACGAGGCGCGAGCCTTCGCAGGTAACTGAGCTGCCCGTCACTGTGACTGGGGAAACCGCTCGTCTCACTGGATGGTTCAAGTGGTAAAACGTCATGTGTTTGTGTGTGAACCCGCAGAGAAGAACAATCTGTCATTCATAGAAACCTCAGCGTTGGACTCAACAAACGTTGAAGAAGCCTTCAAGAATATTCTTACAGGTATGTTATAATCAGACTATAAATAGTAATAGGGTAATACAAGGAAAGGCAATGATGGAAATGTATATTTACTAGATCTATCTTATCAAAAGACGTTTGCAGTGGAAGACAACCTTAGACACATCAAACTAAGTAAACAACTTTCAGAATAAGATCCTGTTTTGTGTGTTGTTTTTTGTTCTCGTCCATTTCTCTGGACATTAAAGCATCAGCTCTGTAGTCAGTCAGTGTTGCTGTGCAGATGTATTTGCACACATTACTGCAGTAACCACTGTTTCAATAAATCCACTTTTTCTGGTCTGGTAAAAAAATAAATAAATAGCTGTACTAAGATTTTCCTCCTGGGTTAGAACGATTCTTCTGTATGTTAAAAAACTTTTCAAAGAACATTTTCATACAAAAGCTTCATGTATTCTGACTAAATTCTGGTTATTGTTTTCAGTCAATTTTAACATAGTTTATACTGTCAACAAAAGTTATTTTCTCATGTTACTGACTTCCACAAATAAGCCTCTATGATTCATGCATATATTTAAACTCAATTGCGACACACAGTGGCATATTAGTAATGGGAAAATGTGGGGGGAGCGGATAATTTTATTTTTAGTACGTTAGTAATCGTGAGTTAGCCTCTGATGCATTTACAGAACAACTATATTTATGCTAAAATGGGATTAAATTAAACACATGGTGATTATGTCTTATTTAAGGGTATTAGAGTGAAAGCAGCTGCTCATATCTACGCAGCAAACTTTACACATTTTTATTTGCAAAAAAGGGTTGAAAACTATGCATTATTTTCTTTCCACTTCACAGTTATCCCCTACTTTGTATTGGATAATTAAACCCCAGTAAAATGCATTAAAATGTGTGATTTTATTATTATGAAGAAGAGATAAATCTCAAGTAAAAATACATTTGCACTACATGGTGTAAGATGTAAATGTATTACCTTGTTGACAACTCTCTCCACTTGCTTTTAGTAAAATAGTCACCATTACATTCAGAAAAGCATTTCTGTCAGTCTTATGAACTTCTTGTTTTTATTTTCTTGACACATATAACATCATGTGGGAAATGTTAATATGAGCAACATGCAGTTTTATTTCTGAAGGTAAAAAGGAAACAAACAAGCCTGCACAGAATAAGGGTCACTTATTTAAAAAATGAGTTAACCGAGGTAACCTTTTTTTCAACCTTTAATCAAGAAGTCGCTTAAATCAGACCTAAACGAAACAAAAAGTTAAGTAAAAGATTTTTAAAAACATCAACTCAATATGGAGCCAGTCGAGACGAGATGACGAAGCAAGGCATTGATATATATATATATAGATATATCTATCTATATATATATATATATATATATATATATATATATATATATATATATATATATATATATATATATATATATATATATATCGGTTTGAAAAGGGTGACATTTACTGAAAATAATAAATATTCTGTGGAGAGACGAGACAAAAAGCTTTTTTTTTAAAGTTCCTATGACCAAAAAGATCGTAGGAACAGTCAAGCATGGTGGTGATAGTGAAATGGATGGTGGCTCAAGCACACTTACGTTAAGCAGAAAGAAAGGAATGAGCTTAAACAGCCCAAACTGTAAACAATTTGTATAAATGAAATGAAATGTGCAAAGATGAGTGTGCCAAAATCTTTCCACAGCAATAAAAAAAACAACTCACCGCTAATAGTCACTTAATGGCAGTTGTTGCTGCCAAGGGAAGTTCAATGCTGATGTTAAGGAGGCAATTACATTTTCCACATGGGAGGGACACTGGTTTAGACAGACTTTGTTCTCTTCATAAATGATATTATTACAAAACCGCTTTTTTTTGTTGTAAATGCTCAGCTCTGATATTAACAATTGTTTGATGATTACATGAGTACCACACACAAAAAAAAAAAATAAAAAAAAAACTTCTGTAAGTGGGAAAATACTTTTTCACACCACTGTATATTCAGACATGAAGGTGACACCTAAAGTCTGGCTCTGGAAGCACTGGGAATCCTGTTTCCCATCACCCTCAGATGTTACTGACACAACTCAAACCAGCTGGTCCAAATGTTCGTCACTGTATGATTCATTAGTTTACATTTTATCCATCTGCTGTAGGAAGCTGACTTTTAAACTTTGCATGCATGTAGCTTCCTCTTTCTGATCTAGTTTCCCTTTCCAGATTAGCTTTGTTTCACCGTAGGTGTCCTGAGGTTAGAAGAGGTGCAAGTGTGAACATAGTATGATCACTCTTCTAAAACATCACTGTTTTCTCTTTGTGAAAACAGAAATATACCGGATTGTATCACAGAAACAGATTGCGGAGCGATCTGCCCACGACGAGTCCCCAGGAAACAACGTGGTGGACATCAGCGTCCCTCCGACCACGGACGGCCAGAGGGGGAGCAAGCTGCAGTGCTGTCAGAACCTGTAACCCCGCTGGAAAACCGTCCTGCCTCACCTGGTCCGATTATTAACTGAAATCCACTAGTGTTGATGTGCTTTCGAATACGCTGGGCACGACGAGTCAGCGCTTGCACCTTTTGAATCAGCGAAGTCAGTTCTATTAAGCCACAAAACGATAGAAGAGTTTGATTTCAAGTAGTAATCTGACCCGGGTATGGTCAAAACATTGTGGCACAAAAACAGGACTGAAGGTACACCCTCCCCCCCTAGCAGCTACCCGTTAATTAACATGTCAGCGTAGCAGTGTAGCCTTGTCCCGAGACCCTGTAGGCCTAGACATCTCTCTGGTAGACTGTTGTTGGCACAAACTGAAGGCCTGGGTTTGAAACCCTGCCAGTTTCACTGGGATCAGCAGTCCTGTCTTTGGGCCTTTTCCTCCTTCAGTCATCATCTCAAAAAGTGGTTGTGACGCTGCTGACGCTTACTTTGTTTTTGTGTAAAATATATTTTGTTCCGTTTGTTTTGATAGCTTGTCTGCTCACATACATTATATTAATGCCATGGAAATAAATTTTACAATATTACTTCGCGGTGTTCTTTTTAAAGGAAAACAAACAAACAAACAAAAAGCAGCACAAACGTAGATGGTTAAAAATGTGGGAGGAACATCCTCATTTAAGTATTCAGCCTCACAACTCTAATTGAATTTGAAAAGTATTTCTGTGTTTACTTTTCCCTCAAACTTCATGCAGTTTTTTTAAACAGTCTGACAAGCCTAGTGAAGAAATAACCAAACAACTTGTTGTTTCTATGCAAGACCAATAAAAAAAATAGCTCGTTAAAAAGGAATAAAAATATCCAGGATACTGCCTAAGGTTTACTGTTGCCCAGTAAATGAAAAGCTCACTTTCACCCACACACCAGCTAAGTTTGAGTAGCAGAGAGTATTGAGTATTAGATTGTTCATAGACTTTTTTTATTTTATTTTTTTACCTTCACTGACAGTCGCCTTATATGGAAGCCCATTTCCGCCACTCTGTCAAAAAAATAATCTCATTATAATGAGATATCTCGGAACAATGAGGTAATATCTCATTATTTTCAGATAGTATCTCCTTGTTATGAGATAATTAATTTTATTTTTTTTTTAACAGAGTGGCGGAAACGGGCTTCCATAGCCTTGTGTTCTGAACAGCAGCTGTATAGTAACATTGTACAGAAATGTTTAAGGATGATTCCAAAGTAGAGAAATGAAAAATTCCCTTCTCAAACTCCCACACTGCCTGATTACAAGGTATCAACAGACCCAGTTGCTGGCACCCCTTGTGAAGTGTAAAACGCCTCCAAGCAATCTTTCACTGCAGTTGCACAATCGCACGCTTAACGAGCCCGAACTTTAATTTATGTGCATCTATATTCAATGGGGAATACATTTTATTTGCGTCTTTGATGAAGGAATTTAAGATTTTTCTTAAGAATGCGGATGCCCTCCTTAAGTTCAACAAAAAAATGTAAAATAAATGTTCAATTTTCTTTCAAAGGGAATTTTAGGGTGACAGAAAGTATGCCACTGTTATTATTCCCCAATATGAGTCTTTCCCCCCACTAAATAAATGTTCTTAAGTTAGTTTTTAGTGCTGCTGCAATTAAAAAAAATTAAAATTAATTCACGCAAACAAGCAAATCCCAGTTCACACGATGTCCAGGAGTCCCTCATGTTTTATTGCACAATAACCCAACTTTCCAGGGGGATGAAGCAGGAAGACTACAGTAACACAAAAATACTTTTAGTATACATTGATTGACATCTCATAGCACATTTCTCTTTTGCATTTTGCTGAGCCCCAAACTGGTCTCAAATCACATGTCTGCCATTTCCCCAATGCCTTCAATCTAAACATGATCGCTGTTATTTTTAAACTGGATTTCTTGTGGTTTATAAGACATCACCACAGACCGTTTGTATTCAGCTCAGCTCATAAGTGATGCATTTACACGTGGAGTGAGGCTATTTCCTAATGCACTTTTATGATAACAGAAGAGAAACATCATCCAATTAGAATGTAAAAGCTTTTCATGCCTTCAACACTTTTTCAGAGCGAGTTAGTGACGTTTTAGGAACTACGATTCCCAGGAGCCCCTCCCACCCCTCTTGACATGTGTGACTGATGCAACGCGTCTCCCTTTACTGACCAAGGAGGAGCATGGTTTAATATTCCCTCTACAGAAAGCAATGTAAAAGCTGTACCTGCAAACGTAAAAAGCTTCAGATTATAGACAGGGACAATGGTAGAGGTGACAGTCGCCCTCTACTTGTCAAACAAACAAACAAACACAAAAAAAAGGAGTATTCACAGCTAGACTTTGTCAATCTTCTTAGGTTCCTATCCATTTGCAGAACTACTGTTCGTCCACGGTTTAAAACCAGCTAAATACATTGTGCAGGGGGCATAATAGGGGAATTATAGGTAGTGAATATGTCTCTTATTATACTGTAGTAGCATGCTGAATCAGTTATATCCTGCTACATTAGCTTGTGTCTTAGTTTTTTATAAGTTTCTGCCACTGACATAAAATGTCAGGCTGGTTAGTGCATTCTCTGAGTGTCAGTTCGTTCACATCCCAGCACTGGTGAATACACAGTTTTTAATCTAACACCACTCTGTAATGAGTTCCTCCCAAACCCACTTTTGTGGGCTGCCAATAACGTAGTTTTGTTTTTGTTTTTTTCATTGTTGTTTTTTTTTAATCAAGTGCTGTAACAAAGAATCATGAGGAGAAAGCATCTCTTTCCCTTCGGGATCGTCCGTATGAAGTGCAAAAGTTCAGTATTACTATGATTAATCTTGTTTTTAGAGTGCTTGTGAGAGCTTGATTTGCATTATTTCCCTCGCCACTGCCCGGCACTCATACGATGGTCTCGTCAGTCATTTTCTTGGTCGACTTGGTCGGCACCGAACGCTGGGTGGTGTGCGCCCCCTTCATGTCGGGCATGAGCAGGCGAACCTTCTGATTGGTCCTCCTCCACTCCGAATACAACTGACAATGATACCGAAACGACACCTACAGGCCGGGCGACAAAGAAGACGGGGTTGGCCACAACAAACAGTGAAAGGCATGCCAATAAAATTGACAAAAAATGTTTGAGACGCAGCATGATGGATGTAACATAGAAAGAAAAATAAAGACTAATTTCTAAAAGTGAATTCATAGGTATGCTTTCCAAAGTTTCTCTTGGCTGCGTTTTATACACCCAGCTCAGTAGAGGTGAAGGAGAAATTTGGCTTCTGATCTCAGCAAGCTATGTGTTTCTGTTCAGACATGTAGATTCTCGAAAGCTCTGAATGATAAGATGCACATAAAGTCCTGATGTCCTTCCCACATCATGTTTTAAGAGTTTCTCACTTAAAAAAACTGGAGAACAATCTCTTCGGCAGGACAAACTTCAGCATAACCTGTTGGGATTTTATATAAAAAAAACAAAAAACAGCAACAACCAAAAACCCAAAGACAAAACAAAAAAATCAATATAAAGTAGATACTAATTGTAAAGTGAGTGAATTTGATTTCTAAATAAAAATCAAAAGCACTCTATCCACATACACTTAGAGCCCTTTAATCCAACAACCCTAAATAAAATCTATCACAAGAAAGAAATCAGCTAATGAGTAAATTCAGTTCATTTGTGTGTGATTTAACACTTTATAACAGGGGTCCCCAAAGTGGGTCCTCGAGGGCCGGCATCCTGCATGTTGTAGTTCTCTCCTTGGTGGTAGTGACAACATTTTCAGAACGTCAATGTTCTTCTTAGGCCTCTAACGAGCCATCATCTGATCCAGGCGTTAAATCAGGGAGAGAACTAAAACATGCAGGATGCCGGCCCTCGAGGACCCACTTTTGGTAACCCTGGTTTGCCACTGGTTTGTAACTTTTGAAAAACTGAAGAAATCCACAGTTCAAATTGGAAAATCTTTAGCAAAAAGTTGTGTGCGTAACACAACCAACACATGGAATGATCTGGTCAGATGAGAGTAAAAATCAAATAACCTGGCCCGTATTTAAAACATTACACATGGCAGAAAACTAACACTGAACAAAGGGGAAGGTTTTCTTCAGCAAAGACAAGAAAACTGGTCAGTATGGTTGACAAGATGAATGGAGCTAAATAAAAAGTAATCCCAGAGGAAAACGTCTTAGAGGCTGCAAGAGACTTGATGGCTGAACAGAGCCAAACCTCCACCGCGTTACCATGGAAAGATTTCAATTAAGGTAACTACACATTAGAAAAGCATAAGCTCAGAACTAAACACAATTAAAAGTCTGTGGAAGCAGATGTTTCCTGTCCAATCTGACTGAGCTTGAGCCATTTTGGAAAGAAGATTGTGAAAAATTTCGATCTGTACTGCAAGCTGCTTAGAGACAGATGCCAAAAGACTTAATTGCAACACCAAGTGGCTCTAGAAAGTACAGCCACAAGGGAGTTAAATACAAATGCATGCCTCACTTTTTGTACATGTACTTTTGTGAAAGGAACAAATCAATGAAATGTATTATTTTCTTTTTAATAAAATACAATTTAGCTTCTTGGCATCACGTAAAAAAAAAGTTTTGAAACATTTGTAAAGTACTGTTGACAAAATCTAGAAATTTGTTTTACTTTGTCATTCAGGGGACTTATTTCGCAACACTATTTTTTTCTCTTTTAATTTTTATTTGACCTTTATTCATACAGAATCACAAGATCTCATTTATAAGACACCTGTTTGATTTTTTTTTAACTAAGCTAATAAAATATGAGCTAACAGCAAGAGCAAGTTCCATAAAGATTTCTCTTTTTGTCCTTAACACCACAGAGTAAGAAAACGGCTGAGGTGATAATGATGGACAGTTCACCAGAGAATATAAACCACAGTGGCGAGTGAAAACCGTAGTTACCAGTGTCCAGAGGATGTAGATGGTGAAGAGGGCGATGGTTAGGGCAATAAGTCCAACAGCCTCCAGTCTGCTTTTCAGCTGCAGATGGTCCTGGGCCCCCCGGAGACACAACCACCCGGAGATAGCCGCCAGGGGCGTGATGAGAAGGAAGCAGGCCATGTCACACAGCAATGTGCGCTTCTCACTGCGAGGGCCGGGGTCCTTCAGCCACTGGACAGCAAAATGAAGAGCTTACTACTGCAATTCAAACATATCAGTCTATAACATATAAATCTAAAGGAAGAGCTTTGATGAATATATCGGTGTGATGTGAACCGGTCATTTTATAAAATATCTGTTCTCACTGTGAAGTCAACAAAGTACTGCAATGCTAATTAACAAATGAGACTATCTTCTAGTAAACACGGAAAACAAGATGTCAAACGTATCCATCGCCGCAATAAGTTCAGCCCCTCCTACCTGTGTCAATGGTTGTGGTCTCCTTTCAATGGTGAACTCTGTGTGACAAAGTTCACAGTAGCTGGTGTTAGAGGACGACAGCCACTTTTCCAGGCAGCTCTTGTGCACTTTTCCCAGAGTACCAGTGCAGTCGCAGGGCGAGAGCAGCGTCTCCCCTCCGGCTCCCTCATGACAGATCCGACACATCCCCACATCGCTGAGCGCCGACACACCACCGCATCGGAGGGGAAGGAAAAATTTATAATAACAATGTGAGCCACATGTCACTTATTTACAGGATACACTCTGGAGCCACATGCTAGTTTCACACTCACCTCTGCAAGCTCACAGCTTTGACGACGGTGGAGAGTGGGCGGCCATCTTTAGCTGTAACCTTGGCAACATACTGGGCCTGTGTAGTAGAATCAGACTCTTCTGCATGCTTAGAGGCATCGGGCTCAGTGTTCTCAGAATAATCGCAAAGGGATCCGGGGAGCTGGCAGCACCCTGACGAAGACATGGTTCATCTGGGGGTTGAAAGTGATGAAAATACTGGCAGAGGCCGGCGCTGGCTTCAAATGAAGAACTGATCCTGAACTGGATTTGAAAGATTCGATCCCTCAAACTTCTCTGATCCACCTACAGGGAAAAGTTCCCAGGACATTAACAGGATAAAAGCAGATGTCACATGATTATGTAAAAAAAAAAAAAAAAAGATTCTTGTGCCTTTTAGTCATTTCTTCACTCACACTTCTCAGAGTGCCATTAATTTTAGGTTTTGAATTGGAAACATTATTTTGCGAGGATGGCATTATTTTACAATTTCAATATTGAAAAAAGTAGAAAACAGAAATTAGGTGATTAAGTTTGAATTTAATGTGATTTTCCTCTAATCTACACAGAACCTAAATTTCAGAAGCAGTTCATCTCAAACTTACTCATACCCCTAGAGTAAGATTTAAATTCAGTTCAGTTTATCTATTTTGCACCAATTCACGTTATCTCCATGCACTTCACTAAACACGAATCAATTAATAATTCAAGGTCTGAAAACCAGGGCTTCCCCCAGGCTTTTCTAAGCCTTGCATCTCCACCAGGCTTAGCATTGCTTATTTATTTAAGTGTTTTTAAATATTTTAACACTTTATAGTTGGTGTTCAGATATTAATCTTCCAATTTTCCAATAACACAATTATAAAGTGATATGCAATAATCTTTATTCAAACATTTGTTAACACAAAAAAAGCCAAGATGAATGACTGCTGAGCGCCCAACCGCAGAGTTTAGCAAGTTTTCTGGGTTAAACTTTGTGAAAACAATAGGAAAGCCCACTACTGGTTAAAAAAATAAAATAAAAAAAATAAATAAAAAATTATAATAAAAAAAAATATTTGCTGTAAAATCCATACATTTTCCTGCATTAGTATATACAAGGTAAAACTGAAATCCATAAGTCTGTAGATATCTACATTTTATGTGTTCCTTGGGGGGAAAAAACTCATAAATGCTTTTGAAGGCACAGAATTCTGTATCAAATATTATTTTCTTTCAAATTAACACCAGTAATAGTTAAATCCAAAAAAAGCCATTGCTCATGCATTTTTTAAATTAACATCTAATGCAGTCTGAGCAGTCAGGAAACTGGATCCAACATGCATTTCTGTTTTTTTTTTTTACTTTTAAGGAAAAGTCTTTAAGATGATCAATAAAAAAGACGAATTCATAGAAACCCTTGCGCATTTAAAAAATGAGTTTGACTGCGAGTTAAAAAAAGAAGCTAGAATAAAATTAAAACCATCGCCCCACAAAAAACAAAAAAAAAAAACAAAAAAAAAAAAAACAGAAACAATCCAAGAATCAGAAGGAGAGTGAATGTGGGCTATCTGGCTTTAAGATCTATTAATGCCTTCACCCACATAAGGAATGTTTGACAGTGTAGTGGGAGTGTTTGTTTTTCAACTGAGTTCCTGAGGTCTGGGTGTCCAAAACAACATGTAAACCTGTCATTTATCTCCAATATGTTCAAATCACATTCTTAAAATGCTGTAGGAATCGAACAAGTGAACAATCAACCACAATTCATGATAAACTAACCAGGACTGCAGGCTTTACTTCAGTTCAATGCGACATACTAAGATTAAAAAGACCCCATTAAGCTTCATCAACACACTAAAAGGCGAGGAAAAAATAAACCAGAGCGATTAGTATTGGCATTTAGAGTTTATATTACGCGGTTGGTCGTAATAAATAAATAAATAACACACCCATCGTTAATTATGCTCAACTGACAGCAGCTTTGGTGTGTAATAACCGATAAGAATATAAGTATTTAAAAGCGACCAAACCTGACGCCTTTATTTGGGTAGTTGTTTACAGTAGAGCAAATACGTTATGTGGCTGTCAAAAAAATGATGCTACTAAGGTGGAAAATATGATTTTACTGTAAATGTACTCACCCGACGGCCTGCCTTTTCTTCGATTGGCCTTGAGCTAACTGGACAGCCCTAGCTACGATTTATGACTGTGAAGCCTGAGCAAAAGCTGCCATTACGAGCGGGTACAGACGACGACCACATGCAGTGTACCCTCCCCATGACAGGCAGTTCGGGCCACTGGATTGGATTTGATAAGAAAATGAAGAATAAAATCCACCCGATTCTGCCAGAATCGCTAGACACAGCTAACCGGGCTAGCTGGCTAGCAACGGGCAAGCCTCGGCATCCCTCAGCTGTGCAACTGGTCATGTGACCCCGTGCTGCCTTCACTGTCATTTGTGATGTCGGAAAGATGAAGATAGTAAGTCAGTCAATGGCACATGAAAGGAACTCAGTTCAATAAGAATGCTGCAGCATCCTGCTTTTTTATTTTAGTATTTTCATGAATGTAGATTGCTATTGTCATAAACTGTATCAACGTACGAAGAGTAAAACATGCCTGTTTTATTCGTCTTTGAAATGAGCAATAATGTAAGGAACTAAAAAAGCTTTAACATCAACAGTGTAGAAGTAAGGAGCCCGTTTGCTGATATCAGAGGGGAAAAAAGATAAATTGTCGCCACAAGTTGTTTAATTTGTGTGCACCAATTACTCAGGGGAGAAAGTAAGGGAATTTTATCTCTATAGCACAGTTTCAGCAACAAGGCTCAAAGTGCTTTCCTTGAATTACAAGGAAATACAAACAAACCAACAAACCAAAAGAAAGACAAAAAGGTAAAAGTGTAGAACTTATTGGCCCCCCTTGTTTAATAAGAATAAGTAGTCCGTACTTTATAAACTTGTAGGGGTTTCTCTGGATTCTTGATCAAATTAAATGAGTAGTGTTGGAAATATTAGTTTAATTATGATAGTTTTCAACAATGTTTGATTTTAACGCATGTTGAAATATTAGATTGATCATGATTGTTTTGAGTAGGCCTCAATTTAGGTTCAATTTATTCTTAACCTAAATTTAACCTAAATTTTTATCAATATATATAACAATCAGTAGAACATTTTTCTTAGATATACTGAGCACGAGTTGATTAATTTTAGTCTAATCAGTATATATATATTTTTTTACATTAGATCAGAGACTTAATAGTAAGTCATTTGAAATTTGAAGTCTTCCTGTTAAAGGGAAATGTTTTCTCCCTCGTCGCCACATTCATCCTCAGTGTCTATGGTGGTGAATGATAGTTGAGAATTTAAGGCCTTCTCAACACCACATGGCACATGGACCAGAAAGATATGGAAGCTGATCAACAGTTTTTATTGAGATGGAACAACAAGCCTGAAGACAACAGATGACCTCGGACTGTGAAAGGTAGGAGTGTGAATACAATGGCAGGAAATGTGGTTTAGTACTTCCGGTGGCCACTCCTCCAGTCATCGGATGAGTTAAAGGAATTTAGTGACAAGGGAGTACAATGGAAGGGCCGATCCATTCATGTTCTCACAATTTGTTAAAATGAAAATGAATAAAACCAGAAAATCCTGGAAGTTTGTCTTTGAATGTGGAGATTCGACATGAAGGTTCCTTTGAGATGACAAAAAAAGAGACAATATTAAACATCGGGGATGATGTTATCTCCAATGTTTACTCCAATGCTTTGTTTACTGTATCTGGAATGTTTTATTTTATCTCCAATGTTTAACGCAAAAGGAAACTTTTCTGGAGATGAAATTTGACATCTGATAAACATTGGCAATAATCTTAAACATTAAGGATAATGTTAAGCATTATCCGTTAATATATCAGGATTTTAGTTTTATTTTATTTTTTCTCTGTCACCTGACAGGTTCTGTGAGAAGTGTTCAATTTATTCAGAACGTTTTTTCCACTGCAAAACCACTAGGGGGGAGCAATCAGTCAGGCTTTGTGAATGAACAGTGGCATTGATTAACATGGTGCTTTTCCATTCTATATAGCCTTATTCAATAAATTTAAATATTCTTTCCGATTTGGCTCAATAGTCATATTAAAAGTATCTTTTGGAGGTAACATCCTTTCGGTATTAAACATACTTTTCATCCTGTTTCTTTTCTTTTTTTTTATACTCTGAGCATGACATAATCATAGTACAAAATAAAACATAAATACATACAAGATTTTTAATTTTAATTTTAATGACATAAAATTGAGATTATTTAATTTTAAGGCTTCTAGAAACCCTTGGAAAACCCCGTACAAGAATAATGCAAATACACCTTATGAGTACTGAGATATATTCGGTTCATTTTAGGTAAATGATTTTTGACCACTGCGACAGACGGGCGACCTGTCCAGGGTGACCCCGCCTCTCGCCGAGAATGTAGTCCACCAGGGACAAGGGTAAACAGAAAATGGATGGATGGACGGATTTTTGACCATCCATGTCTTACAAAAATACCTTGTTGTATAATAGTGTCTATTTTTACCATGTCATTGTTTCTATTTCTGTCACTTTTGGATTCTCTGATCTCAAACACAGAAAACGAATGAGTTTGTTTTTGGTAAGTTTAACCTCTGCAAACACACACACGTACACACACACACACACACACACACACAAATGAACAGCATTATGGGAAATTGCGAATGCCCCTCCTAGCATGCCTCTCATTAGTTAGTTCACCTATCTATTGAGTCAAAGTCCAACACAAATCATGAGATGCTCTACCTCCACATGCGTGGGATATCACGGGACTTGTGTTAGTGAACTTTAACTGGGACCACCAGAGAAATGCACTGGCAAATCATTAACACAGCATAGTCTGGCTATTGTATTGGCTCAGCAGGATTTGAACTTGTAAGAATACTACTGTTAATAATAATATACACATGAATCCCATTAAAGGAAATGTGATCAAATGTATTTCGTTCTGGGTTGTTGTTGAGTTCTTTGTAAATGTCACAAAAAAATATATCAGTAACTTTCAAAGAATCAGAGAAGACCTTTGATTACATGGTCATGACAATGATGTACTTTTTAATGTTATTCTGGGCAATTTGTGGCACCATATAGGTATAAGCATATGCTTATCTACATTCTTATGTGTAAACTTGGGCATAATCTAAACCTAAATCTATAAAAATTAGTTGGCTGTTGTATTATTGAACTGTGCTGAAAAAAGTATCTCATTCCTTTTTTCCAAAAAAAAATGCATCAACTGAGAAAATACAAAATACAGCATTCTTCCATGATGTGATGTGTGTGACATTGATGCACTCTTGAAACAATTTTGTAACTCCTGCAAAGGACGGCCATTGCTCAATGTTTGTCAAAGTTCCAAAGCCTAAGAAAAAAAAAAAAAAAAAAAAGCAGAACAAATCAAGAATGTACATTTATTTTAAAGAGAAAAAGGTGCAGTGAGTAAAAGTTAAAGAGAGACAGATTGCATAACTTATTCACAGCGTTTGGCTTTCAATAACAGCTTAATTCAGATACTTCTCCTCCATCTCGTGATCTTTTGAGGTCCATTTTCGTGAGGGACTAATCAAGTTTCTCTCATTATCTGTTCGGCTCTTGTCCTTATTTGTGCTATCAATCTCATGAGAAAAATCTTTACTCTCATTTATATTTATTTAAATGCTTCACCTTTTCTTTGTTTATTGACTTATTAGGGGCTGTTAAAGGCAGCTGTTTTTGTCATTGTGATGCAAATGGTTGTTGCAGAAAACATTTCAAAGTTGCTGATTTGTCTACTCGTTTTTTTTTTACATACATTTGTCAAAGGACTCAACCATATCCACAAAATGTATATTTTATTAAATTTGAATTGATAGCATTAGTCCTTTTCGTGTCCATCAGAGTGCTTATAGTGTTTTGGACTTTGATCGCACACTGACTGTATTGATTTTAAAGACTAAACTATTCCCTTAGTCCAAAAAAAGGTAAAGCAGACAAACAAAAAGTCTAGTATTTTTTAAGATTTAAAAAGATGTATAATTTGTAAAATACTTTATAGCTGTCCACGCATATGTTGTTGTCACGTCCCAAGTGTTGACATCTGTGACCAAAATCAGATCTGATAGCACCTGTTGAGGTATCATAAAACTCTTTCTAAGCATTATTTTCCTGAGTACATCAGCAACATATTTAATTGTGGACAAACCCATTATATCTTTTTTTCTTAAATTTTCAGGAATACTACTTATTATCCAATTTTTATGTTGTGTTGGACATTTTTCAGGATTGATATATATTTTTTTAGGAAAGATATTTATTATATCTTTCTTTTAAAATGTTGCTTTTGGGGCCAGTCAAACATCACTCACTGATGAGAGAAGCACCGATCCCTGTAATTTCACTCTTCTGACTGTTGTGTCATGGGGCTTTGCTAAAGGACCATATTAAATTATTGGTGTTGATAGAACAAATAGGAAAAGTGAAGCCATGCACATGATTTCAAATTGACATGTACAATCACGTGAAAAATTCCACGTCTCTGACTTAAAAAGTTCACTTAATGTTTCAGCAATGATTTTTTTTCAAACAGCTCACTCTGACAAACAGTAATAAGATAGATAAGTTTTAAATTGTGGTTTTCCCAAAACATGCCGAAAAAATGTACAATTCTTCTGTGACGAAACTCCATAAACTTTGAACTAAATTCAACATCCACCGACAATCAAGCAACTTTTAGAGTGGTTATTTAGCATATTGTACCAATCGCATTTACTTGCTGAAGTTTTCTTTGACACAATGTGAGCAGTAATTATCTTGATGTACTTTGTTTGGTGCAGAATTTCAGATTCGAATTCTGAAATTCAGAGCATGTGAAAGAGCATGTGAGTGAATACTTCTTCAATGTTGTAACATCTTCCATGTTTTACTGATGACACGAGGTTCTAGTAAACACAAAACACTAGTAAATTCAAAAAATATTTATATGCAAGTTCAGATAAAAATGACTAATGTGTAGTTACATTATTAGAGTAACGTAATTTTCCTCTAAGGCTCTTTCTGGACTAGTTTGTACATTTTCTATGCAGGTCATAAATAAGGAATTTCCCTCTCCAGACAAATGTACTTTGCACCTTTTGTTTTAAACACACTTCCCCTTTAACAGAGAAAACATTTCATGGTGTGTTTGATAGTTTTTTTTGAAATATTTTCAACGCAGATGGGGTTTAGTGACAAAATATGACTCCTTTTAATCAGGTTGGAGATTTCCAGCTGTCTACAACTGTTAACACAATTTTATCACACATCTCAGCCTTTTAACATTTGCATATTTAATTTTCATATCAGGATTAAGCATTTCGTCTCTCTAAATAAGGTGGACACTGTCTGAGATTTCCAGGTTCAATCAGCTCTTTTAACTGAACATAAATTAGACCTAACAGAGCATTTTTGAATGTCGATTTTTGAGTAAATAAGCTAAGAAAAAGAAAATCCATCTCATCTACAAGCAATCAAAGTGCGCTTTAAAGCACAAATCCTGGTGCTAGCTTTGCTTAGGTAATAAAATACTCATCGTTTCCATCTGTATACCAGCTGTTAAAGTAATTTACAATAAAGTGTACGTTTCTATTATTATTCTTTAAAAATCAGAAGCGTTTTGTTCAGGCCATTTATGGTACATTCCAAAACAGAGCAAAAGACTGAAATCAGGCAAACATTTAAAGTAGCAAATTAGAAATGTTTGTACAAGATTTACATTTGGAATTGCTTTGTATTTAGTGCCATCTATTGATTTTCATCAACTGTGCATTCTAAATAAAAATTTCTCACAGCAAAATGCTTCCACCACCATGTTTTCCCTCATGACTGGCGTGTTTGAGGTGAAGTGTAGTACTAGTTTGCCCCCAATAGGCAAAAGAGTGCAATTTTGGTTTCATCTGATTTTGTTCTTTCATATGTTTGCTGTGTCCTCTACGTCACTTTGTGGCAAACCTTACTTCTTTTGTCTTGGATGTATAAAATAGTGAGGTTGATATAAAAGGGCTCTGTTAATGAATTCTGAAGGTCACATTGGATTTCATTTTTGGTAGACTGGAATTAAGGGAACAGAAAAGAAATGTGAGATTGTGAAATATTCAGTTTGCAAAAAATTGGGAAAATTGTGTATTATTTGCTCCTCACTTGTTTGATGGGATTCATCCCATTAAATCCCAGTAAAATAACAGCATGTGAAAGACTCTACGGACTGAGCATGTGAAGGCTGCATGATCAGAGTCGACACGGAGTGACGTCAGCAGACAGTTTGTCCAATCGCAGCCTCCGTTTCCAGCCTATGATGGTACAGTAAATTCTATCAGCTCTGCCTTCTTTCCCTTTGCTGCAGCGATGAAAGCAGAGGAGACAATCGAGTTAGACCCGTCGATGTGCTATATAATCTGCTAAACCTGAGACATTTTAGTGTCGGTGCGCAGCCCGATACGCTTCCTGCTCCGCAGTAGAGTGTATATTTCTTTCTCCCTCGGAACACTGTTGGGCAATTCTCACCGCTCGAAGGGAACCAGAGCCAGCCGGGGTGCAGACGAGTCGGCCCTCTGCAGCGTGAATCACCCCAGACTCGCCCTGTCGCTGATTTTTTTGCGGTCGTTTCTCTGTGGACGTGCGCATCCCCTCGGAGGCAGACGGCAGAGGGGAGGGGAAGGGACGGGAACCGACTCGGTGCTGGACCGAGGCGCGCTACGAGGCAGAGCATGCTAAAGAATGAGCCAAAGGGACACGCTGGTTCATTTGTTCGCCGGAGGGTAAGTCCCGAAGCGTAATACGGTACAATTACAGCGGTAAACATGAGCTGTCTGGTGTTATGTGAGGGAAACAAAGGGGGAGGGGGAGCGTGAGTATCCCGCAAAATGTGAACGAGTGCACGTTCATCGTGTTGGTGTCAAAACTTCCGGTTATTTCTACCTCTGTCAGCGCCGACGTTAGCTGACACATTGCTCGACGGTCACCATCACTGGTGCTTCCACTTCAGCTCGGTCATGTGCCTTTCATGACTTTTAAATGGTCACAATTTTCTTTATTTTCACGGCAAGTGGGATCTCATTTCCGGGCTCATTCAAAACCACAGCGCTACTACGACCACTTTATCAACCAAAGCATTTGATCGTCTGCTTTGACATAAATTATAAATTTTGGTGACATCCCATTCGTAATCCACGTCTTTGATAATGTAAAGTCTGCTCACCATTTGATGTCAACTGTCTTCCAGAAGCACATTAGTGAGGTCAGACACTGATGTTGGACAGGAAGGCCTGGTTCTTATCCACTCTAATCCATCACAAAGGTGTTCTGGTTGGTTAAGGTCAATCAGGCCAGTCAGGTTCTCCCACACCAAGCTCCCTTCATGTTTTTATGGACTCTGGTTTGTCCCGGGTGGTATTTACGTTGGGAGCAGGGAGGTGCCATTTCAAGCTATTTTCACAGGGTTGACATTGTCCAAAAATGTTTTAGTAGATGCAGTAAAAGTTCCTTTCACTAGAACTAAGCGGCTGCTAAAAAACAACCCATTACCTAATTCACCTGTGCACCAAACTTTACTCTTGTCAGGTAAGTACCATTCTACTAGCTATTGCTACATCCAGACTCTTCCACTGAATTGCCAGACAGAGAGGCATAAACGTTCACTCTAGAGAACACAACTCCACTGCTCCAGAGCTCAGTGGCAGCATTCTTCACACCACTGCATCTGACTTTTTGTGTTGCACTTGGATTGGCTGCAGCTGCCCAGCCTCGGAAACCCATTCAGTCAAGCCCTATGTATTGTTACAGAGTTAATTTGAGGACCACATTAAGTTTGGAGAGCTGTTGCTAATTACTTTCAACATTTGCTAACACTGCCTGGGATTTTTAGGTTGTCTACCATTTCTAGTCACTTTCTCATTGTTATAATGTGACCAAAGGTTGATTAAATATTTAGGACCAATGAAATTCTGACTGGACTTATTGGATTGGTGACATCCTGTCACTGTGCCTTATTAAAAATCACAGAATGCTTGCAGATGCAGTCTGGTGCTTAATATTGTTGAGCCATCTTTATGTAAACCCTGGTATACTACAATATGTAGCTGCACATTTACTTTTTTTATCTCATGGGTCCTAAAAATGATCCAAATCAACACAAGTTTATTCATTGACAACTATTTTGTTCTACAACTAAGCTTATACTCACAATTATGTTTTTAGAAAAACAATTATCAAATGTATGTACTGTTATATCACTGGCAACATTTTCATCTAGCAAATTAAAAATGCATTAAAAGTGAACAGATTTTCTGACCCAGCTCATCTGTCTTAAACTGAAGACAGTGTAGTTCATTCATCTGTGCACCAAACCTTTGAGTCCAGAATAAATAATCTCATTAGTAGCACAGCCCTTTGCTTGTCAGGTGTCTACAAACCTGAGCACAACCATGAGTAAGCAGAATTTATGCCTGATTTTATTTCCTGTGAAAGACGCCTCGGGCTGCTGGGGCCTTCCAGAGCCGCTCTGAGTCTCACATATGCAGCAGCAAACCCGGCCCAGGAAGTAGGTGAAGGGTCACCAGCTGCTCTGGGCATGAATGTATAGTGGTGTTTTGTGAGGTAAAAATAACTAGTGCCACTCCAAAGCAGCTCCCAGGAATGATTTGAAGAACGGCTACAATATCCAAGGCTTCTGTTCTTAAGATGCAGCATTTGTGGGTTAAAAACAGAATCAGGAATACTATATCTGATAAGTCGCTTTAGCGTTCAGCAAAAGTTTAAAGTCTTCTTTGTGTTGCTAAATTGCATGGCGAGAGTTGAATGGAACAATTGTGATTTCTTTCTTGTTTGAATCCTGTTTTGTAATCACTTTGACCTTTTTTCTCCTAGATGTGGTGGTACAGTAGGCGCCATTTTGACTTGTCCCCTGGAAGTGGTCAAAACCAGGTTGCAGTCGTCTTCCATCACACTATACATCTCTGAAGTCCAGCTCAGCACCGTTAATGGAACCAGCGTTGCCCGTGTTTCTCCACCAGGACCCCTGCATTGTCTCAAGTGAGGAAAATATTTAGTTGCAGCTGCATGATTTGGTTCTAATTTGTGGCTGGGCTTTGACAGATAAAATTCTTACTGCGTAAAAATTTCGGGGTGGACGAGAACAACGAGACTGTTTTAAGATGTTTACATAAGGATGTGTAACATGACCCAGTTTATTTTATTTTAAAAACCAAAAAGCTCCAGGCATTCATACTTCTTATAAAATAATCTCAAATACTAACCCAGTAATTATAATGTAACCTATCCACAGGCTTGGAAAAATATGTAAAATGGACACTTTTTAAATTAGATGCAGTCAAGCAAATTTGCATACCTTGCACAATATTTCACAATATTGCACAATAACGACTCAATGCTGTTCTCCTCTTTCCAGAGCTATACTGTGAGTGTACAAATCTGATATCAGCTGGCTGATTAGTCAAGCTATCTGCTGAGGTAGCCAGCCTGCAGTTGCTCTTGTTCGTCAAGCTAACTTGCAGTTTGCAGCAACAGGTTGGGGAGGGACATCAGTGATTTTCTTGACTCTTTAAAAATTATGGGGAAAATTATATCAGTCGTATGGATTGTTGTCAAATCTATATTTGTTGTGGCCTCAAAGGAAGTGGGTGGTGATGCACAGTAAAGAACAATATGATGTTCTACACATATCTAGTAATCAATTATTAACCAGTTGTAATAATTTGCTGCAATTATTAAGACTTGTGTATTTATTTATATATTTGTTGCCTGGATTTTTGCAGTTTGCGAATTATTTTGATGTCTACAATTTCTTATGGTGTCTCAAATACTTCAAGTATTTGACTTAAGTAAATATATTGTCATTGTGATATCAGATTGTACAGTAAAAATGTTACAAATGAACTATTTGGAATGCAGTATTTGTGCATATGTTTTATTCCACTCATCAGGAACTGTTCTTGCCAGTGATGTACTCAGTCTATTGGATGGAGTGCCTCTTTATGAAACGACCACACCTCACACTGGTAATGGCCAGAAGTCGTAAAGTTCAGAGTGTTAGAAGAGTCACAGATTTGAAGTATTTGACCAGGAGTTGGTTAAATATGGATTTCTTGAAGGTGATCTAATCACGGAAATAATAGTATTCTAAGAGTGGGATATTTCTTTAGTTTATTACATCAAGATGCAAGTCAAAAGTGTCTTTGTTTGTTGTTGTAAAGGTTTACTGATGTAAAACTACTTAAAGAAGATTTCTCTTCATTCTGTGTCTCAGTTATTTATAAATTTTAATACACTGAACTATTTGCATAGTTTGTAGAGCTAAACAAAAAAACAACTCAGGGCATCAATGATAAACCATCTGGTTTCAGGTTTTTGTTATCATTTGCTTTTACATAAGATAAACTTCAGAGAGACTTTTGACCTGTTTGTATCTTCTAGGGATTTTTTTTTACCTATTGGCATATTAAAATTCACAAGAAACTTTCCTTCTGAGTTAATATGATCCAATTCCTCTTCTCTTTATAGTTGTGGGGAGATGTCTTTAAGATGAAGGGAGAAGTGAGAGTAAAGCGGAATTTAGAGTAGTTTTAGTTGTTGTTTTTATGACATTTGTATTTAATGTCGACCACTTAGTTTTTGGGTGTTTTTAGGCAAACATTTAAGAAAGTTGCAGCCTTTCTCTCATAGAACAGTCTCTGTTGTGCCACTTGGTTTTAAACATATTGCATAATTCAGCTGTGTGTGGAATTTTCCACTGCAAAATGCATTCCTGCAACAGTATCATACTCATTGAGAATGTTGGACAGTATGATCTTGAAAAACACAAATGATAATTTATTACTTGTTATGGTTTGATTTTGGAAGAACATTTGCAGAACAATAACATTTCACACATTGCAGAATTAATCTGACTTCCCAACACCTCTGTTTTAATTAAAAATGATATCTTGGCTTTCTTAGAAAGGAAAGTCACTTTTAGTTGCACAATAATCAGCTTATATTGCCTTTCTCAGTTCATCTGTTTAGTACCTCTGGACCGGTGCCCTGTTTCAACCAGGTGCATGTTGGCTAGGCGTGTTTTTGTGCAAAACAATCCTCTATTTCCAACTTGAACTGATCCCTCGTGTTGCCCTTGACACAAGCAGGTGCTGGTAGAAACGGAGCGACTCAATGCCAAGTGGGGAAGGGTTAAAAAGGGAAGGAGACAACTGACACGAGCCAAAGTGGGTCAGCATGCACAGGGATGCAGACCTCCATCGACCTACATTCTTAAAGTAAATTCACTCCAAGCTCTCCATGTTAGCTACTCTGCTCTGATTTCCTATGAGCTACCAATGGATGATGTCACCTTTTCTTTATATAGTTCAAGATATTTCTGTATGGAGTGAAAGTACAGGATAAAATTGTTGCACTAAATATTGCAACTACATAGTGCAATTATTTTGAAATGCACAATGAAAAGAATGAATGAAATGAAACAAAAAATATAATATGTAATAGTCCTTTCACCAGCTGACCTTTAGGGTTTATTTTTACATCAGTCGGGTGTCCTGTGTCTTGCCAGAATGTCTCCCTGCTGTTCTTTTGGCTGTGCTTTACAGCCAAAAGAACAGCAGGGAGACAATTCTTTTCATTCTTGTAAATTTACAAGGACCAATTTTACAGGTCTCCTTGTAAAATTGTCGTTATTTTAAATCAGGTTACTGGGCTAGACCGGACGCAGATGAAAAATCCTTTAACTGACCGGAGGCAAACACGTGAGCCCTCTTGACAAGCTCACAGTAAACACAACCTGCTCAACAACACGTGTCCAGTCATTTATTTTGGATCTTGCTGTAGGTTATCTGTCGCTCCTTGTGCAATCAGCTCCAATTTTGGCTCCTGTTTCTCATTTACTGCTCTTACAATAAATAAAACTGCAAACAACTGCTGCACTGCTTCTTTTTTATGGGCCATGTAAAAAACAAATCACAAGAAGGCAGTTTTCTGATTGGTTTCTGATCTTAGGAGCATTTGCTTAATTCTTCCTAAAAACACATACTTGTTTCTGTTAAATATTAAAGATGAATCCACAATGAAATGTTTTATGTGTCTGCAGGTTGATCTTGGAGAAAGAAGGTCCTCGCTCGCTGTTCAGAGGTCTTGGCCCCAACCTTGTAGGAGTGGCACCTTCCAGGTATGTGAAGGATAATGTGCTGTCTTTTGGGTGTGTTCTTTTGCTTCTTCTGTTCATTTTAAAGCCAACTGTATGCAAAATGTCAAAGTTGCTTTTCATAGTAACTCAAAGACAAGTTGCAACAGGGTTTGAGGTTATTTTTGAAGTGTGTGTCTTATTAAATGGCTTTACTACAATTTCATAGTCATGCAGAAACTTTAATTAAAATAAGGGTCACTGTATCTTGACATTGCATTATTCTTTCGCAAATATGACAATCCAAATTTGAAGCAAAAATACGAAATGTTCAGAAAAAGAAAAGCAGATAACTTTCACACGTGTTTGATATCATAACCGATATGAGAAAGTAGGTCACTTCTAATCTTTTATGTCCACACAAAACATATTCAGAAAGCTTAACCCTGTATGGTTATCAGTACGTACAAATCTCTGCCTCATTCATGTAGAAACATTACATTTTTTGGAATGTCAGTCTTCTTGCTTTTTCAGCATTTCTATTTCTATTGACATTATGCAAGCCCACACATAAAGAAATGAAAATCCCAGCTGCAGCGATGGAGGGGAAATCTCTGCTTCAGTCTGAGCGGAAATGAACAAATTCTCTAAATCGTGTTTTATCTGGTTAGCGCCGGGAAAGGGCTTAGGCACGATCAAAATCTGAATAAAGCAGCAGCAGGTGCCGGCCAGCTGGGCTTTAATCATGTGACACTCCAATTGAGATTTTATCCTCAGGCGCTCTCTGTCACTTAACACGATCTGTCCTGTTTCTCTTTTTGGTTTGGAAGTTTGTAAAATCTGGTTTCCTTGTCATTTCTGGGTCAGCTGTGAGTCAGGAAATATAGTAGTTGTTATCCAAGAGGGAGGCTCAGTAGTTTGGCTCTTCATGTCTAATGTTATGTCTGCTTTCTGTTACTGTTTAAAAGAAATACAAGTACAGAACATAAAGTCCAGAATCTGATTCAGTGGCAACCCAGAAGTGCTTCATTTTCAAGTCATTTAGCCAGTCATGTCTGTTTATCTTAAATAAATAATTATGCAATGTTCTTTAATAGATAGTATCATTCAACCCAGCATGAAATTAATGAATGACAAGTGTATTAATTTAGCAGCCTTTTGTTAAGCTAAAAAAGTACATTAAAGTAGCTTTTTTAGAAATTAAAGTAGCTTTTTTAGAAATACAATGTAAAGATTAAAGAAACCCAACACGTTATAAATACTACTTGATGATTACACAGATGATTAAAAGAAATGTGGGTGATTGCTTAGGAGTTCCCCAGTCCCCAACAATGGCATCTTGAAGCCAGATGGGTTTGAATGCTAATGCCTATATTAACTAGTTAATATACGACTGTCAAAGTTTTTAGTTTTCTAGTTTTATTTTGAAACTAATAAATTTGTTTTGAATAATCTTAACACTTGTATTATACGACTGTGCTTAGGAAGACGCATACGAAAGAAGCAAATTAGTACATTATGTAGAGCAGAGAAAATTAGCTTGAAGTGCCTTAACATCAATCTATACACAACAACTTAAATGTACAATATAACTTATTGAAATGGAAATATCCAGCCTTACGTAATAAAATGGCTTTTTGTTAGAGTTTGCATCAAGAGCAGTTTTTCATATTTGATTTTCTATTTGGGAAAAATTAAGAAAGCAATAATGTCCTCTGATGCTAATGCGAACGTGAACCTGCTGCGTTCCTCAGCAGCACACACACACAAGCTGCGCAGACACACCGGCATGAGTTTTTCAGAGTTGCTGTGCAGTGTCATTGGGTTTAATATGAGTCTGCAGAAATGTTGACTAAATCCTGGGATTATTTACAGAGTGAGGATCAGCTGAGGTCGGGGCTAAATTAAAGACATGGGATTTTTGCTCACATGCACACACATACAATAATCAATGAATGTAATTTTATGCAGTTGGAGGTTAACATGTTTTTGTTGTAAGCTGTATGGGATGTATGTATAATTAGGTTTCACTTATAATTTCCAGTAACGTCTCTTCTGCTTTCGCCCTGGTTTTATTATCCGCAGGGCAATCTACTTCGGAGCCTATTCAACAGCCAAAGAGAAGCTGAATGGAGTTCTGGAGCCAGACTCGACCCAGGTGCACATGTTGTCCGCTGGGATGGCAGGTACTGATGGCTCCCTCTCTCCTGTCCTTCTGTCCGTCTGTCACCGTCTGCTTTTATCTGCCTGTTTGACTGTCTGCCAGGCTACCTGGGCAATTTGTCTCACTGATGGGTTTCATTCAGAAAACATATTAAGACAATATTCTGTGTCTTCATTAAGACAACCTTAATCTCTTTTTTTTTTTATGTTTGTTTTTTTATGACTCATTGTCATCGTTTATAGTATTCCAGGCACAACCCCCCCCTCTTATCTGAAGCATGGTAAAAGCTAAATGATATTGTCTGTTATAAGAAGGGATTATCTAGCTGTTTCATGTGTCAAAAATCTACTAATTATGCACAGTAATTGGTCTATCAGAAAGCACAATTTAATACTCTAAGGATCCAACTGATCGTAATAAAAAGTTTGCATGTATTTGCTTGAAAACTATTTCACAACCATTTTACAGTTCGCTGCTACGCTGTTTGACAGTTTTGGTACATCCCTAAAATCAAACTTATAGCAAAATATATTTTTCAGATTACATAAAATTGTCTCTTAATGTTGGCTTTGCTGTGAACACAGAGCTGAGGAGAAATGTCCTCTAAGCAGCAGTCAGACTTTCATTGAATTGAACCTATAAGTTAAACATTTCTAATTATAATGTACTTTTGCAGTCCTTTGTGAAAGTTTCCATACCGTTTTAGCTTTTTCGCTTTTTGTTGTGTTAAAACCACAAACTTTAATGTTTTAATGGGCATTTATATTACAGACCAACACAAAATATCACATAATTGTGAAGTGAAAGGAAAAGGATTTATGGTTGTGCACATACAAATCAGAAAAGTTGGCCATTCATATAGAGTAAATCAGAGCACTATACTCTGATTTTCCAAAGTAAAGTGCAATGTTGACTACGCAAAAGTGACTACGTTCAGCTAATAGTTTTGGGTAATGCTGCATGAAAAACAAGAAACACACCAGACGGAGGTAAAGTTATGATATTGAAAACAAATATCAGTGTGAAATAGTATTAAACATCTCTCAAATATCTCTATCTCTAGTGCAACATCTGAAAATAGAATGGCACACTCGCAAATTACCAGAGCTTTAGCAGTTTAGCAAAGAAGAATGTGGTGATTTTAGTCTCTTCTTGAGCAAAGTTGGTAGAGACAGGCTCAAAATGCTTTGGACGCTGAATACAAATGCACATCATACATTAGAGACATTTATCTGAGGAGAAAAAAACTATTTTTAATTCCTCTTCACAATTATGTGCTCGGTTTGTAGTTGTGCCATGACAAAACGTGAAAAAGTTCAAGGGATAGAAGTACTTTTCAAGGTATATTTTAATTATACCAAAAAAAGTGTTTAAAAAATGATCCTCAAAGTTTAGGTTGTGCTTTCCACGTCTCCTATCCCCACTCTCCCTCTTGTCCTCCATGTTTGTTTGTTTTTTTTAACCCTCGTCCTTGCCCCTCTATCTTTCTCTTTTTTTTATTTTTTATTTATTTTTAATTTTGAGGCCTCTCCAGAGGCATCTGTAAATAGTTTAACCTCCCAGTTGTGACTTAAACAGTGTGGTCTGGGCCCCCCCTTCTTTGCTTTGTGTGTATAGAGAAGAAAACACGGCCCCCAAAGGTCAACCGGGGCCCCCGGCACTCGGGCGGACGCGTCAGGTAGCACCCCATTTCTTTACACTGGTATGATGAAAACCATGGTGATTTTTATCAGTACTAGATCTGATTTGTAATGGTATTACCATTTCTTAGGGTATAGTGTTTGCTTTAGCTTTAGGAGACACACCTTCCCCTTCCCTTTAAATGGTTACAGCAGCACATTAAAGGTAAAGATACACTTGTGTTGATTGATTTTTATTTTTTTTTTGTCAGCACAAAAGAAATGCTAACCTTGTCTGTGTGCAGAGGTTTGCACACAGTTTGTTCATTTTGTCTGGCGTCATCATCCTTTTCTGATTGGTATTGCTTCAGTCAGTTCTTTTAGGGGAAGCTGTTATCAGTATGTAACCCGAGAACTGGTGATATTTCAGCAGAAATTCTGACTAAAATATCCCAATTTTAAACATAAAGTCAAATCCAATTTTTTAAAACTCCATCAGTTTTGGATACAAGTAAAAGGAATTTATAAGATTAATACAATTTTCTAGTTTTTATCACCTTCCTGATGAGGACGTGCTTGACCAATGTTTCTTCAAACATCCTGTACTCATAGCTGAATAATTGTATACTCCATTAATAAAGTTATTTCATGTATCTATCTTAACCACATCTCTAATAAGCTCTTCTTGCAACTAACTGAGAATTATGAAACTGAGCTTGCTGACTGAATTTAACCGTGACTCAGAATAATTGCTTCCAGTTTCATAAACTAACTGTATAGAAGAGTTCCCTTTATGGCCTTCTGGCTTGGAACTGTGGGCTTCTTTGCGATTGGAGGAGAGAGGCTGCTCCCACTCTCTACCTCGCTCAGACTTACTTTCTGAAACTGTCCCCTGTGTCTGAATGTAGGTCAAACCCCTCTGGAAATGCTGCACGTGCATTAAAGGCTTATAGGAGACGTTAAATACAGTACTTGCAGCGGCATGTTCATGCACAGATGCAGCTTTCTCTGGAAAAACAAAGAACTGGAGTTGCGCAATCAAAAGATCTGTGTTGATCAGCTTTGTGGTTCAGCTCTTACTGCAGTCCGTTATATTTTTAACTTTTGTGCGCCGTGTCAGACTTTTGTCTTCCACATTTATTGTTTCAGATGCATCACAATGCGCAACTTTATCAGAACATATAGAGTAAATGTTAGGGAATCACCGATGTGAGAATCTGGGCTGATATCGATATCCAATATATTTAATGCTCTAATAGTCGATAACCGATATTCACATATATTGTATATGTCACATATTCTTCCTTCCCATTCGACACCTTGAAAAAACGACCATGCTGCTGACTTCACCAGAAATTTTCTCCCTCAGTTAAACTCCCCACAATCCTTTGCTGCATCACTATGACTCTCACATAATAAACAAATACCACATGACCAACCTTTTGTCTTTCGCCTCCAGAACCACATGGCAACACGATAGAAATAAATACCGGTTGTTAATATCAGCCCTGTTTCATTTTTTGATTGGATACCAATATTGCATAAAGTGACTAACAGACATGATGGAGTGGATATATTGTGTGTATATAATAGTAGCTGGGACTCCACCGGATTTACTTGGGATTTTATGTGACAAAGTAGTGAATAGTTGTGAATCAGAATGAAAACAAAACCTAATTTTCAGCACTTAATGCAAGTAAAATCTGAAAGATTTGGGGTAACTTTTTAGTCTTTCCACGCTTACTCTGATACTCATTAATAAAATCTAAGGCCACCAAAATAGACAAATGCAACTGTGTAGAATTAAAGTTTTTATTAACACAGATTAATGAAAAGTAGAAATCTACAGCTGAGGTGTTTGCAGGTCCTTTTTCTCCCCATCACATAAAATCACTTCAAAATACTTAGAAGTTCATGGTTGTAACATCACAAAATGTTAAATGAATTAGATTCTGACTGAGTTGTGATATCGCCCCATCTCCATGATATCATTTTCTACTATCACTGATTTCTGTTATGAGTTTGTCTCCATGGCAAGGTTAGCATTTCCACCTGGCTCGCTTTCTTTTCAAATCTACTTCAATAAACATCTGATCTTTTCTTGTTACTTTAGAATATGACAGACAATGGACTCAGTAATTGTGAGGGACACTTTTTTTCGTTTATTGTATTTACTTGGCGTTCAGATAGACCTGAAGTTTGGTTTACTGTTATTTTCCTTCTTGCAAGGGATAAAGTGAAAACAGAACATGTAAATTCATTTAAAGACATGAATTGCAGCTGGAGTAATTAGATGGTGCAGTGAGTTGGGCTACAACTAAAAGAAAGATGGGAGGAGGGGGCTCACTCCCTCACCTCCCATCTCTTCTCCATTTTCTTGCGCAGAAAGTGGGTGTGGGTGGGAGGTTGGTGGGCTTTGGGGTAGATGTGACTGCTGCTTGTGTGTGACTGTGGTACAGAAAAGCCTGTGTCTATTTTAGGGCTTTACTGTAAAGCTTTCACGCCTGCGTGATTGGGTGGGAGACCCCCGCCATCTGAACCCCCCATATCTGCAGGCTTCTAGCTGCAGCGGGGAGGAGCTGGAGGAGCTTTGCCCCTCCCTCGTGAGTACACGCCATTAGACGCTACTTCATTTTACTTCCCTCTCTTGTCTTCTTCCTCTGTTTTGTTCTTCTCTTCTTCTCTCCAACAGACCTGTGTAATTCGTTCTGATTCAGCTGCCTCCGCATAGGTCTCTGTTGCATTGCTACACTAGATCTGTCTGTTAGACTGTCTCTGGCATTAGACGTTTCCTGCAGATGGCTAGGATTAATGATTTCTTTCCTCAATTTATTGCTGATTTTGGCTCATTTTCTTCAATGAGACAAAATGCATGTTTAGCCACACCAGAGAGACAAAAGAAAACGCACATTATTGCATCTAGCTGCTAAACAAAGACGCTGTTGATAAATATCATTTAAAATGTATATTCTACCAAAACGACAGGTTAATCTAGCACTTAAAAATATGTAAGTGATAACATAACAGAATGATTTGCTTGTTAAAAAATACTGTGACATAAAATTTCTCACCATCACTGCAAGTACAGACTTCATTTGAAACTTCTCTGTTGGTTTTAATTAGTTTAAAACTTTCTCCCAGAAACCTAATTTTATTCTGTTTCACCTCCTGGTTATTTATATCCAATAGTCTTTAGGTCACCTGTGGTGCCTAAGCAGTGAAACTCTGGTTCATTACAGAATTTTCTGAAGAATAACAAAATTTGTGCAACTTAGATGTTCTGTTATTAAATACACTATGATGCTGTTTTGATCTCTTTTTTTTAGAACTGTAATTAACTTCTAAAAGGTTTTTGTTTTTCTAGATTGATTGACATGTTTCTTATAAAATGAACATGTAAAATGAAGCAATGAATTTTCTCCCAAAAAAGAACACGAGGTTACAGAGCCAGGTCTATCCCATCACTGGAAATCTATTAATACAACAGACAAAGATATAAAACCCAACTAATAGAATTGCAGCATATTCTGTATTCTTTATTAGACAAATTAGAGCTCTTTAAGTTTTTTTGCACATATAATAGAGGAGCAGATGTTTCAAAATATTCAGATTTTCTCACCAAGATCTATTAATAAATAAATATTCCATCTAAATATTTTACAAGAAAAGCATTAATAATGTATGAGAACAGTCAGCACTGCATTGCTCCACACTTGAACACAATTTACACTCTTTCATTAGCAACTAACATAGCTGGCATTATTAACTGTGAAGGTTGGCATTTGTGTGTTACCCATGAAAAAGGTATTTCTATGTTGTTTTTTTTAAAAAAAGATGCAGCTATTGGCTTACAATAACTATTTTGCTGCAACACCTGTAATGAGTTCAGCCTTCTTGTTACCAGCTGAAGTCTCACTCTCTGTTTATAAAAAGCGGCTTAAATGAAAAGCTGAAATTTTTCAGTAGAAAATGCTTTTGCAAAACTGACTCAATTTTGTGTGATTCCTTTGATACATTTGTAAATACCTGATACTAAAATTAGTCAACTTTGAACTTTGTTTCCTGAGTAACTTGTTGACAAGTGACCTGTTAGTGTTTCTATGTGGTGCATTCACTGATGGCAAAAAATGATCAGATTTTTTAGTTACAAACAAGAGGATCCCAGGTCAAGGTCGTTTAAGATAGAAATGTTCCTATTTAGGTCACTAAATAATTCATCAATGCATTTCTACATCTTAGTATTGGTGAAACTAAGGGGAACATTCCCCATGTTTTCACTTAAGCATGTGCAATAAAAAGAACTTGGAAAATGGGCATCAAAAACTTTCCTTTCAGGTCAGTACAGTTGCAGATGAAGTTCTGATGGCCCATAGTGAATCATGATTTTTAAAAGAAACCTTACTGCAGTGTAGCAAAATTAGGCTTAAAAGAATGTAGTGACATTGTTCAAAAAGGCAAAAACCAACAAAGTACTCACAATTACGGGCACTTTTTATGCACTGTTTATTCAAATAGCTAAAATACATTTTGCCTCAGTAGTGTTTACCAAGAAAGAGCATGCTTTTGTATTTAACTCATTATTTGGTATTTTTTAAAATTCTATTTAATTGACGCTGCTTTAATTTGAAATAATCTAATTTTTAAAAGGGTTGGACACCAAAAAGACAGCCAGTTGTTCCTGTTTTGTGAACTGCTTTCTCTCTGTCTTTGCACAGTGTAGAATTTCAGTGCAGCTTATGTGTTTGTGTTACTTCACATTCCAAGGGATCTGTCTGAACCTTTGACTTCTTGATTTCCCAGGGTTCACCGCCATCACAGCCACCAACCCGATCTGGCTGATCAAGACCCGTCTACAGCTGGACTCCAGGTGAGGAACCAACGTTTTCTTTTGACAAAAATTAACTTCATGCTGCTATTTTGCCGTGATGTTTAACTTACAGCTCAAACTATTTCACATTTGGTCACATTATCGCCAAAAATCCTTTTTTGTATTTTGACATTTTATGTGACAGACAAACGACTAGTTTTTGTGAAGTGGAAGTAAAATGATGCATGCGATTAATTGCTCTGGTTTTGTCAAATAAAAATCTAAAAAGTATTTTGGATTCAGCCTCTATTTACTCTGATGACCCTAAATAAAATCCTGTGCCTTGAATAACATAATCTGCACCCTATAACTAAAACTATCCCCATGGATAACATGGTGCTGGCAGAATCATGCTGTAGAGATGCTTTCTGCTGGGATAGGGAAACTGGGCCAAGCTTATGAGGGAGGAGGGGCTAAACACACAGCAGTTTAGCAAAGTGTATGTTAGAACGGTCTAATCAAAGCCACGATATAATTTAATTTGGTCCTAATTCCTCCCAAAATTAATATTTCTTGCTCTAAGTGTCAAAAATTGCAACACTTACAGATGCATTGCAAGGCATTCTAAACTCAGAGTTCCTCTCTGATCCCAGGAACCGAGGAGAGCGGCGCATGAACGCGTTTGAGTGCGTGCGGCGGGTGTACCAGGTGGATGGCCTCCGAGGTTTCTACAGGGGGATGTCAGCCTCGTACGCTGGCATCTCTGAGACTGTGATCCACTTTGTGATCTATGAAAGTATCAAACGAAAACTGCTCGAGTCCAAAGTCCACAACAGCATGGACGAAGAGGACGAGACGTCTAAGGATGCGTCAGACTTTGTGGGCATGATGCTCGCAGCAGCCACATCCAAGACCTGCGCCACCTCCATCGCCTATCCCCATGGTAGGTTCATTTATCACTATTATTACAGTGGGCTGAAAGGATTAATGACCATGTACCAATTATTGAAATAATCATCAACTAATTTAGTAATTGATTCATTGTCACTGTGATATGCAAGCTCAAAAACAAAAAAAAAAAACGATTTGCTGAAAGAACAACATTTCTGTTTTTGAATTTATGATGAAAAAATAACTTTGTCAGTAAATCTGTTTTGTGCAGAACAGTGGGCAAAAATATTTCCTATTAAGCATCTTTTGCTATTCAATTCTGTATTGATTAAGAAAAAAAAAATCAAATTTTCCCTACATGTGTATTGATGTTGAGTCAAGCAGAAAGGGGTGAGGGTTTCACATGTCTTTAGAAGTATTTTTTTACCTGTAGATGCTGTGTTATTGCATTTTTGACAATAAGATGTTTTTTTAATTAAAAAATATTATTTAATTAAAACTGTTTATTTGCATCATTAATGTATTTCTAAATTGTATAAAAAAGGCTTTAGTACGCACATGAAAAATCTGCAGAATGTTTAATCTCAAGAATAATCGGTAGAATAATCAATTACTAAAATACTTGTTAGCTGCACCTCTATTAAGACCATGATTACCGAGAAATTCACTTCCTTAAAGTTGTAAATCCTGGGATCTTTCACTATGGAGTGTCAAGTGTTAACAAAATTTGTTTTTCTGTTCTCCTTCAACCTGCAGAAGTGATCCGCACGCGACTACGAGAAGAAGGCAGCAAGTACCGCTCCTTCTTCCAAACTCTCCTGACAGTCCCCAGAGAGGAGGGATACCGGGCGCTGTACCGCGGCCTGACCACGCACCTCGTCAGACAGATTCCTAACACCGCTATTATGATGTGCACCTACGAGGTGGTGGTCTACCTGCTCGGCCGTTAGCAAGGAGTGGATTTCTCCTTTCGGTGGCAGAGAACATAGAAGGAAGCCTTTAGGCTCGGAAGGGTAGGTATGAACTGTGACAGAGAAGACCAAAGGAAAGCTGAAGATACTCTGATGGAGCAGAGAAGGAGGAAAGAGGAAGATGCAGCTCGAGGGGAGAACATCAGCATCATCGGGGGAGAGTAAACGTCTCAGAGGAGAGGTGCAGATTGTAGAGATCTGTTGGATTTGTCTTCAAGCTGAATTCAGTGGCCTGAAAAGAAATAATTTGTTTCTATCAATTTAAAATGAAAAACAGTAAAACCCTGTTGTAGACGTTCTACAAGGGGAATGTTTGAAGGCAACTTTCATGATGCGCTAAGGCTTCATTTAACTATTTCAATAGTTTATAAGTTTTGCACCCTTTGTCTCCAGTAGCCTGCACTTTTTCAGCCACTTTTAGGAAAGTCCAATAAAGCTGAAGTCGATTTTGAGACAAAGGTGCCTGTATGTGTTAAGATCACCTCAACCTCTCTAGTTTGCACCAAAGAAAGTTATACTTCAAACATTCTTCTAAACACTGCATCTACCGTTGCATATCAGCAAATAAGAACATCATCATAAAATGTGACTCTTGATTATTGTGTGTATTTGTTGCACACAGAGTGAAGCAACTTTCCATTAATATACTTGCATGCAGCGCTGAACAGTCAGTTAGTAACTACTGTTGTGAGGAAGACGTGTCATTTCACAGCCACCAGTCACTTTCACACCACAAAGCTCATCGTTAAAGACGGTGGCTCTTCAGACGACTATATCCAAGAATTTTAATGGAAAGTTAAGTGGAAGGAAAACATGTCTTCAAAATGGTTCACAAGAGGGAGAAGGAGAGTGTTGAAAAGATTGTGAAGCAAATGTCATTAAAAAAAATCTATTTTGCTCACTTTCTTGACCTCCCTTGTTGGTGTCGACATGGTTTACTTGAATCGGAGCCTCCATCTGGAATTATGCTTCTGATCGTCCTGAAGAAACATAATTGTTCAACTTGTAGACACTTCTCAGACCTCACTACTCTTGTGTGGAAACAGAAAGCTGTGCCCCTAACAAGATAAGAAGCCTTCCTTCTGGTTGTTACTGCGTCTTAAAATTACAGAGTATCTTCTGCTAGAGAGTTTCTACTTGAACCTAATGTGACAGTTTGAGGAAAATATTTGGAGTGCGACGATGTTGAAAGGTTCCTCATCTAAAAGCCTGCTTTGTGTGCGAGTATGTGGATGATGTCTTTGTGTTCAAGAATGTGTGCCTGCATGTCAATCATATATATACTCCAGATTTCCATCCACTAGCTGTTAATCTCGCAATACAGAGCAGTTTGGGGTGTTGATAGACTGGGAGCATAGGTTCCCAGTCCATCCAGTCCTTCCTTCCCACTGGCTTCCAACTGACCTGATAACATGCACTTTTGTGGCCTTTCAAGGCTCGTGCTTTGCTTTCCTGTCGTGTGGACGGATGAAACTTGTACATTGTGAAAGAAAAAAAACAAAAGTATTACTGTATTTTAAATGGCATTTTGCGCAACCGTTCTGATAGCAGATGTTTGTACAGTTTAGACTTTCCATTTGTTGTGAAGGATGTTCAGATGTTTGTAAATAATAATATAGTGTCTATGTATATCACTTTTTGTTTCTTCCTCAGTCCCTCTTCCCATCATGCTTTTGTTTGCCTTTGCGAATGATTGTTTTCATTGTGTGCAATTGAAGATGTTTTGACTTTGACTGTTGATACGCATTTTAATGTGGCTTGGCTACTTTTTCCTTTGTTTATATGTTGCAGAGAGATAGCAGATGCTGCAGAGCCAGTGAATTTGAAGTGTTAAGGCACTGAGCATCGGTTTGGTTTGTCGTGTTCATTAAGAACAAAATTGTTCCAGTTTGCAAAAGTTGGTGATTTCTGTCAGAACGTTTACATGTTCTTTTACACTCAGATTCTGCTGGGTTTTTTTTTTTTCTTCTTTTTTTGCAGTTTGTTTTGATGTCACAGTTAGTTGGTTTGTATGGGGCAGTTCTGAAACTGGAATATATTTTCAGACACTATTCAAGAAAGTGCTTCAGATGACTTTAAAACAGCAAAACACAATAAAACAAATGCTTTGCAGTTACCAAGGGTTGTGTTATTACACACTCGCACAGTGTAATGAAAAATTGCTTCTCCACTGAAAGAAAGTGGAGAGCTTTTGAACGCCCCATACAGACTCCATGTGTTGCAGTATCATGTCATAGGCAAACAGATTTTTAGTAACCTGTGTTAGTTTTACAGTGTGAGTCTGGCATGCTACCAACCTACATTGTTTTCTTTTTGTCTAAAGAAAAGAAAGACAACATGCTTTTTTTATGTCCATGTGTTGCTGTAGAACACTAAAAGCTTTGATTATGTCTCAGCTGTGCTGTCGTAGTACTTGAGGTCACATTACCTGAATGGGACCTGAGAAAACAACTGGAGCAAATCATGCAAACATTTCACTTGATAATTTATCATCGTCTTTGGCAGGTTCCATTGGATAGGATGCAGCCTACAAAAGGGTTGAACTATACTAAGATTATTTTTTTCCCAGCTTTGTCATTTGTGTGTTTTCATTTTTGTTTTTTAACACAAAAGCCAATAAAAATCTATTTACAACTACAGATTTTTGTGTTATTGTATTTATTGTATTGGTAAATGACTGTTGCCAAATTTTGGGTCATATCCCAAGTTTATGTTCCCAGTCAAGAAACTGTATATAGTTTCCTCTTCTAAATATACAACTGAAAACTCATTTTTCAGTTCCTTGTAGAAAAGGACTAAGAACCAGTCCCACCTTGCCCTCTGACATTAAATATGGTGTATATTTTAATTTTTACGTCATTTAGAATCGCCAGGTCATATTGTTTAAAAGAGTTCTACCAAATGCTAAGGATATGTCTGTGAACTTGGTTCATTTAAAGTCTATCAAAACATTCTTCAAAACGATCTCATTATTCTGGTATTTAGGAAATAGAAGTCCTAATTTGGCCAACTTTATTTGGCCAATGTAATATCTGGGATGTTTGTCTGATATAGGTCTATGTTCTAAAATTCAAAGGAAGAACTGTTTGAAAATTAACAGATTTCTGAATGTAAAAATGAGAGCAGACCATTTGTTTGTAATTACCGACAGTAACCAGCAGGGGGAGCTAATGTCCCGCTGAACCATCTTGTTCTTGTTTCCGGTTTTGAGTCAAATTCAATCAAATTAGTCACTTTCAAGATAATTTACTTGACCTGTTGACTGTGCTCCAAGACCAAGACTAATATATAATAGTAAAAAAAAATATTAGGGACCATAACAGAGATATTATATATTTATAATAAAACTTATTTTTTTTTTTATTTTTTTATCAGTAGTCAAAAGCTGAATTAGTTACAGATACTTTCAAAAGTTCTATGCTGCCTACAGATTTCCTATGTTTTGTAATTTCACAGCATGTTATGAAGATTTTATGAAATATACCAATTATGAAGTCTGGATGGAGAGTGTGAACATCAATTTTCAAGTCTTTCCCCATAGATCCTTCTCAATTAGTTTCATATTGGGACACACACACACACACACACATATGTAAACACACTAAACAAACATTTTTGAACTATGCAGTACAAATCTTGCTGTGTGGTGAGAGATTTGAGACCCATGGAGTACTGACCTGAGGGAGGCTGAGGATGCGCTCCAAGCAGCAGATAAGGATGGGGGAGTCGGTTTACACCCTGAGTGGAAAATGTGTTTATACTGACACTTTAGACTGGAATTGTCTTAGCTGTGGTGGTAAGTGATACATAGAACTATGTCAGCTTTGGCAAAAATAGTGGTGTTGTTGCTATTTTTTCATCTAAAAAAATATATATACTTAAACAAGTGAATTACATAAAATGTAATTATTGAAAATTAAGGAGCGTAGAAGTGTTTATGCGTCCTGCCTGAAGCGTTTTAGATTTTCTAATGAATAAAGTGGTGTATGCAGATGACTTCATTGCATTATGGCCATTGTTGAAAGAAAGCTTTGAAAAAGCATCATACTACGGAGATCCTTTTAGTTTTGAGAGACAAAGGAGTTTGTTGATGGGGTATGATAGATGGGAGACATTTCGGGTGATTGTGAAACAATACCATGGCTGTCACACATGGGCAGAACAGCAATAAAATAGCAGTGTCATCTGCTAAAATAATCCAGTCAAATTCACACCTCAGTCTAATGTCAAATCTGTGGCAAGACCTGAAAACCTTCATGTCTGAACAAGTTTGAGCTGTTTTCCAAAGGCAGAAAAAGCAGAGATAATACTGTTAGGTGCTTCTAAAATGTATTGAATTCTGGTGGGAGGACACTAACGCACAGCTCCAAAATTTTCCTTTGCTTCCTGTTTTTCTATCACGTGAAATCCTTAAAAAAAGCACATTTAAGTTGATTAAATCTGCTTATTTGTAAATTTTTTTTTAAGGAATAAAATGATAAAAGTTCCAGTTGGATGCTTAAAAATAGTCTTTTTATTTTTTTTCTGACTTTGCACATTTTGTTACTAATAGTAATTATATTTTGTTTGTTTTTGTTATTGTTGTTTTTCATTTGGACGTCTGAAAAACTTAAACTACGAATCCCAATTTTCAAAGTAGTACTTGAACATAACGTCAAATTCTGGGCCAATCGCGTCAGAGTGTTAGACTGCGTTGCGATGGGAGCAGCTAATCAGCGCTCGTTCTGAGGAGTCAACGGACAGCGAGCATCGCGTCGGCTCCCATGGTTGCATGGGCATTTAGACTTGCCTTTAACCGCAACAAAGACACCGTGACTTGGTTGTTAAAACATCTGTAACAGCACTGGAATAGCGTTGCTGTCAACAGCGGAGGAAAAGAGAGGAGACGTTTCCTCTAATTTCGAAGAAAAACCCGCTGGGAAAAGTAGCATTTGGTGGTAAGTAGAGTCGCCGCTCGGTGAGTGTTTCTGTGTTTACACCGGCTGAACAGCTTCAGGTTTGTTGTGATAAGATTTCCTCCAAAAAGTCTCTTCACTTCAGTTTTTTTCTGCTAACATTTCAACCTGACCGAATAACTTTTCCTTACTTATAGAAGAAGCCTTAAGGAGTCTTTCGCTTTGTTTAAACGCCCGCTAAAGTTTCCACCGCGCACAACACAAACACCACATCCTCACCTGAAGAGGCTTTCTGGTGATTGCTCTCTATTTACGGTTCCCATGCTTGCAATAATAATGTCATCTGCACCGCAAAGCAATGCGACGCTGGCTCGTTATTACTTCCTCACTGTGCTTCATGAATGACGAGTTCTTGGTAATGGTCACACCTTGACATTTAACAGGATGTGATGGGTAAGGTGACATGGAAGATGGAGCGCAGATGGTTTAGAGCAGGAAGGGAATGTGGTGTGAAGAGATGGTGGAGACAAGAGGATGCTGCGAAGGAGGAAAAGAAGGATCATAATCGTTGACAGAGGGAGAGTGTGAGAGATGTGTAAGACATGCGCAAAAACTCCTTATTGTCTTATATTTTGCATGGAGGGTTAAAGTTGTATACACAGAGTCAAACATATTAATGTACATCCTACTTGCATTTAGAGGGAAACTATACAGTTGGTTGAACAGATGTTTAACATCTGCAGCAGCCCTGCTGCCAGATGCTGACTGCCCCCCCCCATTTGATATTTTGTTCTTTTGCAATTTTGGTTGATTAGTTGTGGACTTTCTCTTCGAGAAAGAATGCTCCTAAAATGTGTCAGTTCATACCTGCCTGCCTTCTCTCCTCTCTCTTTGGTGACTTTTCAAAACAAGACTCCAGGAAGCACAGTCAAACATCCAAAATAATTGAACAAATTGTCTTTTTTTTTGACTGTGTCATTGTTTGTTGTGATTGTTTGAAGCTAAGATTGAATCTGAGCTACAAATCTAAATATTTCAAAGCTCCAGTCCATACATTGGTGTGACCAAGCTGGTGACCTGACATGGGAAGGATTGTGCCGATGTGGTTGTTTATGGTCACTGATGTCCCTGTTTAAAATAATAAATTGTTGAATTATATCAGTATGTCTTGTTCCTTCACACTTCAATCATCCATTTCTGTAAACAATACCAGACTAGAGTCAGTAAGAGAGATGGCAATTTTATCTCCACAAATAAATATCGCTGTTGAAAAACACAACTTGTAGTACTTTTCTTTAGGACACCAGTTACTTGAAAAGTGTGATTTGTATCATTAAACTACACACAGTAAAAGATGTGTTTTGAAATTTATGGCCATTTGTTGATGCTCTCATTGAACAAAATGTGGGAAACACATAAATCTAAGTTCCTATCACGTTAAGGAATTTATCACAATAAATGATAAACGACATGATAAATACCCACCCTTAGTAAAACCGACATTCTTCACTCTGCTGCTCAACCCACTAATATATTTTCCTTACGAATGTGTCACCATTTGAATGGAAATAAATATGTTTTCCAAGAGTGTGAGAGTTATTTGCAAGAAGCATTGTTATGACAAAGAAATAATCAATCAGATTTCCCTTCTTTTTTTTTTTTTAGCGTCATACAAAATTAGGCATGTGTAATTATGAAATAGGGTGAGTTTGACAAAATTTACATTAAATTCAAATGTCGCCCAATTCTCTTTTTATTAAATTCAAAGAAATTGTATCATCAGTCCACCCTGCAAAATGAATAGTGAAATTGCCTCATTAAAGGCATTAGAAATGACATCTGTGTCCATGGTGAAACGTCTTGAGTTGCGCTCCATGCGTTCTAGGCAAAGTGAGTGTATTTGCATGATGGATATCCTGTTGAAATGAGGGAGGAGGCTGGAGTGTCAAGGCCAAGAGGGAGAAAGCGAGGTGGGGACATTGTGATGGTGACAGGAGGTCATTTATCTGTCTCCGGGAGGTCAGCCTTGTCACCAGCATCTTGTCTCCCTGTTTGCTTCCCTCTTACATCCACGCTTTCTCCTTTTTCTGTCTGCTGCCTCCATGATGCTCTCTTTGGAATCCACCCTAAACATTTCTGTCAGCTCAGTCTTTGTGCGCCTGATCTTCCAGCATTCTCCTCATCCTAAAGTCACAGTTTAGATTTAAAACGAATTCCCCTCCCGCTGCCGGGTTGATGCTTTTATGAGCTTGAACACAAAAATCTACATATAAGCTCCTTTTAATCACCGGAGGCTACCGATCACAATTTATTCTAAGCAGTTGAGGTTAGACTTCGTATCAGAACCTCAAAAAGCTCGGAGCAACACACAGCTGCTGATTCCTGCTGCTTTCAGATTGGAACAACTTAAAAAACACTCCAGGGATTGATTGTTTTTATTTCTGGACACAGCCAGCATTGTCTGTAAACATGAACATAGTTTTCTTATGAACACTTTTCTCCTTCATTGTCATTGTGCTCCAGCGCTCTCTAAAGTTGTCACCAGCAGGAGTACAAAGTCATTTTTTTATTGCGGTCACATAATATTCCACTGAAAATGTTTTAAATTCAACCCTTAAATTTGAATTACATATTACAAAAAACAGCCATATGAAGAAACTGGACACCAAATAAAATACTTAGTTCTTTCAGAAGAAATATGAAGGTCTTAATTTTCTTAATGTCTTTCTGAAAAAAGGCATTAA